AAAATAAGAATTTATTAAATTAAAAATATAAGAAAAAGTTATAATTTATTAAACTAAAAATATTAAAAAAATAGTAATATACTAATAAATAAATATAATTAATAAGCTATAAATACTTTTACTTTTACTATTAATAATTCTATAATTATAAAATATTAAACTAGTATTTTTTATAACTATAAAATACCTTATTATAAATAATAAATAATATATTTCTAAGCTTAAGCTTTTAAATTAATTAAATTATAAAATATAGTTTTATAAAATATTATTAAAGCTTTATATTAAAGAAATCTAATATATTATTAATCTAAATAAAAATATATATATTATAAATATAATATTTATAATACTTATAATATCTAATATATTAATTTAAAAAAAAGGCAAAAATAAAATTAATAAAGAAAATAATTAAATATTATTTATAATATAAAAAGAAATATATAATAAAACAAATTATATAATAAAGTACTTATATAAATTAAATATTTTACTTTATTTAACTCAAGTTTAATTAGAGAAGCCTTATTTATACTTTACTTACTACTTATATTTATTTAAATAACTTAAATAATATAAGTATTTCTTTAATATATATTAGCTAAATTATCTTATATTTATATAAGATACTAGATATATTATTATTATTAATTCTATATTAGAGTTCTGCCCTAAAAGAATATATAGATCTTATTACTAAAAAGAGCTTCTATATTAATACTTTATTTAGTTTTAAATATTACTACTATAATATAGTAGTAGCCTATTAAAGCAGATCTGCTCGAAAATATAAAAGATATTTAAGGCTCTAATTAAATAGAATTAAATTAAACTTTTGAATTATTCGAATTTAATTATTAAATCAAACTTATATATATAAAAAATTCAATTATAGTTTATTAAATATTTATTAAATATTAAATATAGTCGAATATTTATTATATATAAAAAAGGCATTTTTTATCTAATATAATTAGTATTCTACTAATATTAAATAATAGCTTTCTTTTATTTAAAGCCTTATATATTTAATTATATGAAAATTTGATTTCTTTTATATAATTATCTTAATTTAGCTAAGTAATATAGATATAGCACTTTCTACTAACTAATAATAAAGCTAATATTTATAGATAACTCTTTTATAAAGCTTTTTTATAGCTATAGCTATCTCTAATTATTATTATTCTCGATTTTCAAATACCGAAAAATTAATAATTATTAATACTACTTCTATTTAAGGCTATACTAATACCCTAAAATTAAGTCTTTATAAGTAATAAAGAATTAACTATAATATATTTTATAATTATAACCTTTTAACTAATATTTCTTTTTCTCTAATAGCTAATCTTATAGTAAATAAAACATAAATTTAAGTAAAAAAGGCCTCTAAAGCCTTTTAATAAAATATATTTATAGTATCTAATAAAGAGAAAGAGATTAATAAAAAGAAGTTTTCTAAAAAGTTTAGAAAAAGTAAATAAGCTTAATAATAGAAATATTCTATTATAATAACTCTTATAATTACTTTTAAGAAAGAAAAGAAGAAAATAAAGGTTATTATATCTAATACGAAATATATTTGCAAATTATATATAAATATTAAGTCTTTTTTCTATCTAATATTAAAACTTAAGAAAGTAGTTAATACTTTAAAAGACTATATTAAATCGAAATACTAAAAGTATACTAAAACCGAAAATAATACTATATAATCTAAAATACTAATTGGGCTATAAAAATACCTTCTTTTAAAAAAGCTTTAGTTAATTAAATTATTAAAACTTGCTAGCTATTTACTATTATTAAAACCGAGTTTTATAAAGTTATAATAAAAGTAATAGAATATTATTAAAATAAATATTCTTATTATATATATTTATAATTGAGTTATTATATTAGATAAGAATTTAATTATACTTTTAGATTAAATCTATTCTATAATAATTCTTTTATTTAATAAATAAACTAGCTTAAATAAGTTCTTAATACTAGTAATTAATAGAAATTAAACCGGTTCTAATATTAAGATTTATAAGGCTTATTTTAATTTTATTAAAATTAAAGAAAGCTATTTAGAAAAGAACTTAATATATTATATTTATAAAAGATATAAAAAACTAGGAATTCTTTATAAGATTCTTATATTTACTAGAAATAATATTTTAAATAATAATACTATTACCCGATATTTATATAAAAAACTATTTTATATATATAATAATTATTTAGAGAAGAATCCAATTCGAGGCAAGAGTATAAGATTTTAAAGAAAAACTAGTAAAATTAACTATTTAGTTTATATAAATAATCTTATTATAAAGGCTATTTTAAAAAAGCTAGAATTAAAAATTTATAAGAATATAATTACTTCTTTAGATTAAATTCAGAATTATAATTAGAAGAAAATTATACTATTTATAATATTAGAAGATATTATAATTCTATATATTATAGTATTTTGGTTAAATTATTTACTCTAGTAAATTCAGAAATAGAAGGCTTAAGATAATACTAAGATAATAATTTTATATAATATAGATATATACTAGAATTATATTCTCTATATATTAGAAAATACTATTAAATAATATTCTATTCTTTAAGATTTTATCTCTAATTATATTAAGCTAAAATATCTCAAATTTAATACTAAATAATAGAAATATCTTATTTAAATATATAATCTTCTATTCTCTTTTAAAGAAATTATAAAACTAATATTATAAGATAAGCCTATATTAAATATAATTCCGAGCCTCTATATTAAAATAGAGAAATTTCTAAAATTAATTATAAATAGAAAAAGTAACTATATTTCTTTTAATACTTCTCTAATTATTACTATTATAAAAGGTTATAAGAAGTTTAAAAAATACTATTATAATATAAAAAAGAATAATATTTATTAGGTTATTTATATTCTTAATTCCCGAATTAAAACTAAATAGCTAAAAAGAAATATTCCCGAAGCTAATAAGATTATTAATTAAATTAAGGCATTTCTTTAAAAAAAAATACTATTAAGCCTGAGCTTTCTTTCTAATTATATAAAGTTAGTTAAAAGAAGAAAAAGAACTTAATATATAAGTATTTAAAAGAGTATAAAGCTTCTATTACTATTAAGGATAATATTAATAAATATTTCAATCTTTTAGGGATTTGATTTATTCTGAATAAGGCAGAGAATTAAGTCCAATAGATATTAAACTAGTAAATAGTAAATAAAACAGAGTTTCTATATATATTTATAATTATATATAATTATCTTTCTATTTCTGGGACAGAGGTAGATATTAAGAGGCTTTTTAATATTATATAAGATATTCTAGGGCTTTATTAAACCTTACTGGAAGTAGATACTTTAAGGGCTTTAATTTTAGTTAAGGATTACCTGTACTATAAGAAGCTTAATTAGGTTTGAAATTATATATATAATAGAATAGAAGTATAAATAGCTTTAAAAATTACTATATATAGAATTAAATTATATATATTAGAAGAGAAGTATAGATAGCTTCAAAGAATACTATATATAGAATCAAATATTACTAGAATTATATAGAAAAAGTTCGTCGAACTGTCGAATATTCGACAAATATTCGACTAAAAAATTCGATCGAACATCGAATCGATTTATAATTAGTTCGATTCGACCAAATTCGACGGATATTCGTCGAATGCGAATAATTCGACGATTCGATCGGAGCCCTAAAGATATTGTCGCACAGGTGCCGAAATAGAGTATTGGGCCAGGGTGAGTATTGGCAGGAAACCTGTTGAATTATATAAGGGCCTGGCCGCCTTCTTATCCCTTCGTCCACTGAGACATTGCCACATTAGCGGCCGCACATGAATATCCCTAATTTGGATTATGTTTTGGCCGAATTGGGGATATTTATATGCGGCCGCTAATGTGGCAATGTCTCAGCGGACGAAAGGATAACAACTTCACATAAATATAGAATATAGAATAATCTCAAAATGACTTAAACTTTCCGAATAATACTATAGGTAATAAGGGATAAATAGTTTTAGAGGAATAAACGGCCCTTCTAGGAATTAAATATTGTACTTGGCATAGTTAAAGTTAGAACTATAGTATTTTAGCGAGGTATAACCTTATAAAATATAATAATTGAGACTGTTTTCTTTAATTTAAAACTATATTAGCCCGAGGAACTTCGAGCTACTACTCCTCTCTCTTATATAAAACACAGGGCAGCTAGGGTATAGTATATATTAGAACGGCCGTATTAGCCTTGGCACTCCACGTTTTATTTGCGGGGAGGGGAGGAGGGGACGGTGAAGGGGTGGGGAGAAAGATACCAGGACTAGAGCAAGAAGTATTTAATTCTCTCTCATCCCAAAGAAAAACGCTATAAACTAGAGTTCTTATTGAAATCAATTTCAACGAACAATTTATCTAAACAGTTCTGGCTTCAAGATCAACCTTATTATCAGAATTTAGCAATGGTGAAGTTTACTTCTATCTGGGTCCTCTCAATTGTTACAAGCGTACTTGCAGCAAGTATTCTTTTGTCTGTCTATACTTCTGTCGCTAATTTATCCATTCAGTGTGGCGACAACTGTTGTTTCAAAGATGAGGACACCTGCAAGTCATATAACGTAAGTGTTAATCTAAATCTTTAGTTATATATCATATTAATAATTAGTCAAAAAACGTGTGTATAAGCGCGATTTGCACTCCAGACATCTTAATGGACTGTGTAAGTAAAAAGGCCGTTCTTAAATTCTACCATTCTCTGATATAATTAGGGCGCAAATTGCTGCAGTACTACTACAGAGTTCTATAATGGGGGGTGGCACTACTATGGGGTTGGTTGTTAAACCCGTAAACCCGTAAGCTGAGGAGGCAGATGGGTTAGAGGAGGACTTGAACACGGAACAGCAACGTCACTTGTGGAGAGAAAGTATATGCTCAAACCAGGCCTTGCCTGGAAAGTAGGAAATGTTAAGAACGTTGAATTCAGGCCGGGTTTTCTCGGAAGACAAGGAGTGCTCTCGGATTATTTATTACATTTCGCTGTGCCTAAGAGCAAGTCTAGCAGCTTTGCAGCCTGGTATCTGTACAGTACACACTTCATCTTGGTCTCCCCAATAATGCAAATGAACACCGAACTCCAAGAGCTCCAGCCATCCTGTCGGTTTTGAAAACAGTCCTGTACGCCACGAATACTCCATGGAAATGCTGCGCCACCATCTCGTAAACAAAAGAGACTCCACCCCACCACTCTATAACAGATCCGCAACCCAGCCCATATTGTCTCTGCGCTCATCAGATAACCTGGCGTACTCGAGAAGTAGTCGCAGAACATAAATCTGCATATCTTCCTTCCTGAGCACTTTATTCGCCCACTCCTGCCCGGCAAGCGCAATCCTCTCCGCCTGCGCATCATGGCCCTCCCTCTTGACAACCTCTCCCTCAAACCCGACAAAATACTCCATGATTCCCCAGAAATCCAAGAACCTATTATCCATCGGCACGAAGTGCTTCCACGGGACTAGCCTGCTATCATGCCATTCGCGGAAAATCGTAGCTTTGATAGGAAGGGAAGTAGAGAGGAGAAATCCGCGATACCGTCCAGAGAAGGAGTTGCCGTCGATATCAGGGACGTATTTCCGGTCGAATTGCTCTGCCATCTTCATGGCCTTGTTCACCTTAAAGTATGGGTCGGTGTAGTAGCAGGTTGCATCCTTCTCGGGTTCTAAACACATCAGGTCAATGAAGCCGGTATCAGCCCACTCCTCCGTCCACCGACCGAGCTTCCCCTCTTGTTGTGCAGCGATGTCATACTCCGACGGCGGTAGAGCAAAGTTTTCTGGTATCTGGGACCAATTCTCTGCTCCAGAGACTTGTGTCGCGTTTGTCATGGCCACGAATCGATGGCGCTGGAAGCCTTTCCAGTTGTCCGGTTTGTTCTTCCCACCAGTTGCCACACCTCTCCAGATCACCTTGTTCTGCTTGTCCACCCAGTTTGCCCCGTGGTTCGCGCCGCCCGAGAACCGCTCCTCGCCGTTCCAATACATCGGCGCAGGAAGGAGAATCTCGTTATTTGTGGGCAATTTCGATCCGCCGAACATGGGGAACAGATGCCTCGTGGAACTCACGGAGAGGGGCTCGATCATCATACCATGAAGGCCCTGCAGATCCGGCTGGTGGCAGAAATCCGCCGAGAGGGAGAAGTTCGAGACATAGCCTTTGTAGGTATGGGGAAGCGTATGCGCGAGGGTGATCGAAGGGGTGTCGTTGAAGTTCGTCTGATGATCCGCCTTGCGAGCCAAGCTGTCGGGATGGCATCCTCGGGATGCGACGTCCCAAAACCGTCCTGCAAAGGTTAGTTCAGCATTTTACCCAAGGCATGATGAGACACGTACTTGTTTCCTTCTTGCTCTCCCACCACTTCTGTGCCATCTCAACCTCCGCATCCGGATGCTGACCCAAGATCTGGAAGTCTGAAACGACCTCCTTTGGATTGGCCATCTTCCGCGACGCGCGCTCCTTCTCCATATATCCATTGATGTCCTCCCAAGGCACCGCAATCCGCGGTTCGTCCATCGAATTGAGTGCAAGATCCATATCGGGCAGCAAATGCTGGATTGTCTTGGTCAAATCCAACCAGATTTGTGTCCAGAACCAACCGCTGCCAGCGCTCGCGTTTTGATTTCTAATGTTGATCGTCATTTCATAGTCCCATGCTTCCTTTCGCATCACCTTCGGTTCGACTCCCCAGAAGGGACCGAGGTCGTGGTATATCTGGTCGAAAAACTCCTCCACCATGACTGCTCCGTTCTCCTGCGCGAAGCCGTACCAGGCATCAAAGCCTGGTGGAGGATGTCGCCCTCTTCTTGTGCGGTACGCTGCAGCCGCCGACTTCAGATCACGGCTCTCCTTCCTTAGAAGATCCTCGAATGTCACCTCTGCCTCTTCGATCAACGCGGTAATGGGATGGGAATGTGCGTTTGGTCTCGTCTTGTCTCCGGGCTTGATAGGACTCTGAGGTGTTCCGCCATTCATATGGTCTTCTATTGGTCTGAATGCCGTATTGAAGGTTGCCGTCGCAGAGTTTCGCAAGTAGTAGAGCACACACAGGGTGACGACAGCGAAGATGGTGTATTTGACCTTTCCAGCTGCGCGGCGCGGCTTTTGGAAGGCCATAGTGATGGGAGAATGAAGTGCCATGAAGTGGGATGGTTGGATTAGAGACGAAGAAGAAAGAGAAGAAGAAGAAAAAAAGAGCGAGGAGGATTGCTCTTGTTGTTCGTTCGGAGGGATGACAGTGGAGTGAGCTGTGAGGCTGGTGAAAACGAGTGTGGGCGGGCGCCAGCGAAAATAGAAATTCGGCGGCGGCGGGCTAAAAGGCGGTTGGGCTTAGAACGGGGAGGTGCATCGTCAACGCCGTGGCAGCGCAGCTGGAGGGCACACTCGAGACTCGTGACTCGTGAATAAAGGCGAATGCAAAGGGCGGGCAGCCAGCAGGAGAGTACAAACAAACGGAACACAACGTTTGGGAGTGAAGAAGGAGGAGGAGGACGGAAGGGAGGGAGAAAGGGAGGGAGGTAGTCCAGGTAGTCCAGGTGGTCCACCAGGTCTTGTCGAATTGATGAATAATCAATCTTCCAGGTTCCCACATGCTCCCATTGCTGATTGCTCCCTCATCCGCCCTCGTCCTCCAGGCTCCATCATCCTCCCTGTCCTCGTCCTCCCAAAGTTTGCGCCCCCTGTATCTCTTGGCGCACGCTGCACTGGCAGGCCAAATTGGTAGGGCAAATTGGCATTCATTTGCCCCCTGAGAGTCTGACGGCCGCCCATGCAATTTCTCCCATTTCTCCCCTCCGAAGGCGCTGCAGCCATTGGCCGTCCCCAACTCCAGGACTCGCGCCCCCCCGCGAAAATCGGGCGGGACGGGTTGCTATCTCAGAATCTCACGCATCACGCATCAGCGCGAAAGCTTAGGATTCGTATCGCTGCTCTTTTACTTGGTACTCCGTAAGGCTTGCCAGTTCGCGGTTCGCGGTTCGCAGTTCGCAGTTCGCAGTTCGCAGTTCGCAGCTCGCAGTATCTTCATGTTGAATGCTGAGTGTTGACCCTTCGTTAGCAATTCCCTCGGCCCCTCCCTATCTTCGTAGTTACTTTACTTTACTTTACCTCACGTCACTTTGTACAGCAGACTCGAGAGCCGGAACAATTGTTTGCTCTCCGCCTTATGAACGAACCCCCTTTTCGCCGCAAGTGCCACTCGGCAGCGAGCCGATCACCAGTTTCATCCTACGGTAATAATCCGTCGCGGACCCGCGGGAAGCCACAGACACCAACGGAATCAGGTGGACCCGAGCCTCGATTACGAGTAGATGGGCTTGCTGGGGTCACAAAGCCACAGGCCCCCGCGCCGTTTGAACTTTGCATGACCGGATGGCAGGGCTTGGATGGTGTCCAATTATAGTCCCCCCCCAGCAAATGTAGAGCTACATCTACACAGTATTATCCTCGAAGACCTACGTCAGATAAATAGTCTCGTCGGTCAAATTATGTTTATGAAACCGGTCCGGGCATATCGCATTCATCCGAGGTTGCAGGAAAAGCCTGGAGGGCAGATCTTGGAGATCTTCCACTCAGCCTCTCAGGGGTGTTTCATTAAACTTGTTATCTGATCCGGAAAGAGATTATCATTTCCATCGCGGAGAGGCTGCATCCTTTTCACATGAACGCGAGTCAGTCGATATCCCAAAAAAGGACCCGTGATTGCGGTGGATAGCTGCTGCAATTTTGAGCCTCAATGTTCCCAATACGCCGAAGAGCTGCGATACCCACAGCTCTTGCTCCGGGTCTTCATGGATCTCGATACCCTTTAATAATGTCAGGATAAGTCGCGGGGGCAAGGGGGGGTTGGTTTGAGGTCTGTATATCTCAGTATCATCGTGTAGAAGGGACTGATGGACCTGCGAATCGCAGTTATGCGAGGGGATATTCTGAACTTTGAATATTCCAACTTCCTACGTGAATTCGGGCTTCGAGAACAGGAAGACTTCGAGCAACAAGTTGCTGTTGCAAGGAAAAGAGGATGGCCTTTTGAAGAACCACGTGACTTGCCCCGCCATCAAGCAGGGGTCGTGATTGACTGTCTCACTTTGCCTCATCGTAGCTGTAACCTTCCTTCCAACATCATTCTTCGGCCAGGACCAAGGACATTCGACGTGGAGTGCGAAATGGGAGTCTCAGAGACACCTCCTATATGGCATCGACGGTTATAAGTCCAGATCGTACCGCAATAACCATTTTCATTTAAGCAGTCGTCGTCGAACGCTTCGAAGCATCCACCCAACTCAATAATCTATTCGCAGCCCCCCTTGAGCCTTAACGATGGCTTCGAGGACTTCACAACTCACCGGCGGCGATTGGGGCGCTATCTTGACCCTCTTACAAATCCCTCCTTGATTGGGTTTTGGCTTATCCTGATGCCCTGGTTGCGCTCGACAATTCCTGTACTTAACGGTCAGTCCAGGAACGACTTGCACTTAAAGGCCTAGGTCCAAAAGTTGCCTCGTCAAAATTCAACTTTAACGGTCGAGCATCATGGCGAGAAATTGCCTTTTACCTAAGAGGCCACCGACGAACACCGCTCTTTCGAATCTTGGGACCCATAAAGAGCGAGGTCACACCTGCTTGAGACATTTACGTTCTTTCATCGCACCAAAAAAAAAGGCCTCAAACCTTGAATAATTTGGAAGCTCCTACGTTCCAGCTACCCTACTAGACCCCACCATCAAACGAACGGTCCGCCATTGTCCTCATCACTACAATATATCCGTCGCGCCCTCCTCAACTCAATCAAAATGACGACTACATCAATGGTCCAACCGAAATTTCTCTCGAAAGGTGACCAGCTCGCCGTCGTCGCCGTCGGCTTTTCTGGGGGACAAGTACGACATCTTCCCTTCCAACTGTAACCCAACCTCTAACAACTACACAGTGCAAACCTGGCGTTGACGCAGCACCGTCAGCTCTCATCGCCAACGGCCTTCTCACCCAGCTCCGCGAGGACCTTGGCTACAAATTGTACCACGATGACACTGTACATTCCTACAAAGACCTCCTCCCTGCCTCCGACCCCGACTACCGCGGGATGAAAAACCCGCTCGCCGTATCTGCAGTGACCAAAAAACTCTGCGATCAAGTCTACGAACATTCAAAGGAAGGGCGTCTCGTCCTAACACTTGGGGGTGATCACTCCATTGCCATTGGCACCATTGCTGGCACCGCGAAAGCTATTAGGGAGAGACTGGACAGAGAAATGGCGGTCATCTGGGTCGATGCGCACACGGATATCAATACGCCAGAAACCAGCGAGAGCGGCAATGTACACGGTATGCCTGTTGCATTCCTGAGCGGTCTTGCGAAAGAAGACAGAGAGGACGTCTTTGGCTGGCTGAATAAGGACAATCTCATTAGCCTGAAGAAGTTGGTCTACATTGGTCTTCGGGACGTCGATCGAGGAGAGAAGTTAATATTGAGGGAGCACGGGATCAAGGCTTTTAGCATGCATGATATTGACAGGTACGTTCTACCTCTTTGTTGTGGGACAATGCTGACGATTACACTTCAGACACGGTATCGGCAGGGTCATGGAAATGGCTCTTGGTCACATCGGCAATGATACACCTATTCATCTCTCCTTCGACGTCGATGCACTGGATCCAATGTGGGCTCCTAGCACTGGGACGCCGGTTCGAGGGGGCCTTACACTAAGGGAGGGCGACTTCATTGCAGAGTGTGTTCATGAGACTGGATGCCTGGTTGCTATGGACTTGGTGGAGGTCAATCCAACGCTGGAGCCGGGCATTGATGATATTGGTGCGCAGCAAACAGTCAGATCTGGTTGTTCCCTCGTGAGGTGTGCGCTGGGTGAGTCTTTGTTGTAGGTTTGGCGAGCGTGATGGCATTCGAGAGGCACCGGAGCATTGCATCCGGCATCTGGATTGGATAGACTGGCATTGTACGAGGCAGATTCGGTGCTTTAGAAATTGGAACCCTTCTTCCTAAGAGTTGAATAAATACCTATTTTTTTGATGATTCATTTCTCTAATGATGAACGTTTTGGGTCATTCGTTGATTGTTTCGTTTGGCGGGGCAGCAGGAGTGGCGCTGATCATGGTTGAACTGACATTTCATTTGCACAGTAATCCCTCGAGTTCAAACATTTCCCATTCAACAAATATTTCGAGGGCTCACCAGTCGCAACCCATATGCAATCCAGGTCCCAAGTAATCCGCCCCGGCAAAACTTGGTTGTCGTGGTGCTGCAGCCCAGCCACGCCACTTCGCCAGCCTCGCGATAAAAAATCGACCAAGTTTCGTGCGTCACTTCGCTCCGGCGCGCCCACCATCACCCCACCCACCACTCACTTTCCAGTGTCACTCCCTTCTTGTTTGCTAGCCAACTCAGCTTCACTCGCTCCTTCGTAGCAGCTCAATTGCACAGCATCGTCCCAAGCACAAAGGCCATTCCGAAGTTTGCATCGAGTCCAGAAGCCAGCGGTTCGGTCCACCGCCGAGGCAAGCCAATCGTTATCTCCCTCGAGTCGCGACGTGGATCCTCCACCGAGCGAGCTGCCAGCGCAAAGCCCGAAGGAACGGTGAAGCCAAACCAACAACGTGGGAACTTGAGATTGCACGCGCATGCAATTGACGTGGGTTCTTGTCAGGGCATCGGTATAAAAGGTCAACGAGAGACGTACCTGCTCTGCGCAGACGCCAGGACCGAGTCCATCCATCGCCGCGAGAAAAGCTCCAGGTGGTACCACGAACAAGCAGACTCCCGACCACCTACATACGATCGTCGCGCGCGATTTACTCGAGAATCGAGGATCCAAGCATCACGCGGAAGCAGAAGGAAACACGGGAAAGAAGGAAAGAAGGATAGGGCAGGGCGGAATACCGGCTTGCGCGACTCGGACGAACCGGCGACGGCGCAAAGGCCTCCTCGAAGCATATAACGGATCTTCTCCCCAGCAAGCAACATGGCATCCTCGGAATCCACAATGACGGCGGATGCGGTGGTCGTCCACCGTATGCGCACGAAGTACCACTGGCCCGCGCTGCAGCTCAATTTCTGGCTCCTAATCATGACCATTGGGAGCGCGACGATACTGGGTATTTTCAGTTACTTTGCTTCCGTGCAGCAGCAGTTGCAAGTTGGGACACCATGGTTAGTCTCCTCCTTTCAAGAGCTCCACTCTCCTCTGCCATGACAGAAAACCCGGGCTGGGTTGGAGATGTAATATTTGGGAATCAATGCTAACCTGCATTCTGCGCGCAGGTACTTCCCCTACTGGATCACCGTCTCCGCGCTCGCCCTCCTGTTCATCCTCATGATGCTCTACCTAATAGCCCAGCGGCAACTCCTCCCAGGAATCGTAGTAATGGGCTCCTTCATTCTGTTTGTGCTGTGGATGGTAGGCTTGATCGTCATCTCGATCCAGCTGTGGGGGCCGTCGGGGAGTGTGAACGGGAACTGCAATCTTTATGTAACAGGAGCGGCGAGTCAAGGACCGAGCCAAGCTACATTGGCGTATTTGGAGCAGCATAGTATTTGTGAGTACCCCTGCAAATTTGGCTATCTGCGAGCTGGTGGGAGGAATAGAGAGATGGAGGCTAATGTGTTGACTTGCAGGCCAGAGCTGGACAGCCGCGTGGGCATTCCAGTTGGTGGGATGCGTCTTCCTGCTTTGGATGATGATCATGGCATACCAGGTTTACGCAGAAGATTCATAGGGCCAGTATCCAGCCACCCTTAATGCCACGGAACGAAGACGAAAGACGACACGACGAGAGACGAAGGCATATGACACAGGAATTGAAGGTGTAGGAGTGTGCATACGGGTCATTAATCGGTTTGGTTTGCATATATTGGCGTTCGGCGACAGGTTCAAGACTGCAGATACACTCTGGTCTACAACATTGGGTTTGGCGTGGGAGAATACGCTCCACTGTAGTCCTGTGCATTTGTTACATCTTCATTTCTTGTCTCAAGTCACAACTATATATCAGCTTCGTGTCGAAGCATATCTCACCATCGCTTTTCAGGGCATACAGTTGTGATGTGATAGAAGAGTGTTTGAAGAAATCATTTCTCATTAAATTTCTATTCCATCCATCATTCCTCCGGCATCAAACTCCCAACAAAAGAACGACCCAAGGTCTAGTTCGACCACTTGGGATCAATAGTTTTTCTGCAAAGCAAGCTTATTAGTTCGAATACTTGGCATCCAAATTCTTGCTATAGCACAACACGGCATTAGGTTGCCCTTATCTTTCCTCCCATCTCTTCGCGAGCGAGGCGAGGACCACAAAAATGGAGAAGAAGACGTACCCAGTAGCCTTCTCGAACAAGCCTCGCGCGCCATCAGTGATCTTCTCGTTGGTGTCCCGACTCATGGTGTGTCCGGTCTTCTTCTCGAGGAAGTCGAGTCCTGATCACAAAGCCATCAGCATCTAGCTTGCGAAGGGAAGGGAGAGGAACAACCCTTGTCACCATAATCCTCATTCTGGTTGTTGCCCATGGCTTGGCCTTGGCCTTGAACGGGGCCAGCGCTTCCTTGTGCGGCCTGGTTGTTGTTGTTGCTGCTGCCGCTGCCAGCGTTGTTCATCATACCTTCAGCCTTCTTGAGAAAATCCATTGTTACTAGTTCAAAACTTGGAACTGAAGTTTTGGGATGTGTATTTTGATATAGAGAGAGTGTGGGAGAGAGAGTGTGTGTGAGTAAGAGAGTGAAATAGGGAGGAGGGGTAATTCAGGGTCCTGGCTTGACTTTATCCCCCTCCACTAGCTCGTCACTTGAGCTGCAGAGCTTGCTTGCATGCCATTAATGCAAACCTCGCCGGCCAATGCTTACTTGATCCATTGCTAGATGTCGATAGCAGCGCAACCCACACCCGGTCGAGCTGAAGTTGTCTCACTTTTCATTCGATGTGGGGTTGAGGCACGCTACGTCATTGCTGCGATTGCCGAGTGATGTGTGCCAAGAGCCTTCGTGTCAAATCAAGAACAGGAATTCGTGCTTCCTTTTTTTGAAACTGGATAAAGGGAATGTGCATGTGAATCTGAATCTGGAGAGGGAGATAAGAAAAGCAAGTTCGTGGCGTTAATTGAGTTTGCATTTGGGGGTTGCTGGAGACCTCAGCTGAGTTTCCTCGAGGGAGAGGGCCTGGATGCTCGGGAAGCCCGATTACGGCCTCGGCGGGGGCTGGAGAAGCAAGACAAAGGGGAGGCTGACTCGCGTGCATTGCGGGGAGGAGCTATGGGATGCAGAAGAGTCTTTTCTATTTTCATGTAGCATTCTTTCATTCTTTCATACCAAATATTGAAGTCTGTTACGTAAACAGCGAGTCTAGGTACTGCAGAGAGTTTCATGCGTGTTCCTCCCAAGAACATTGGCTTCACTTGGAAGACAGGGGCGATCTGGGAGGTCCTCCATGGTATCTTCGAAGTTGATATTCCCCCAAGGCAGCTTTTCGATTCCGTGTGGGCTCGTGTCCGCATCCGTTGCTGGCCAAGTTACACTTTCAATCCAGCGAAGACAGTGCAGGAAGATGGGCAAGAAAAGGGGAAGCGAGCAGATGCCGCCAACTGAAGACACATCGGGGGCACTGACAAGACAAGAAAGGATAAGAGCTTCTATGAAGCCTCGTTGATACAACTATGGAGATAGGACAACCGCAACACCTTCCCCCTGCGGCCTGCCTAGATCACGGGGAAGCAAAATCAAGCAAAAGGCAGCTCCTTCGGCATACCATAGTCATCACAACTCGCGAACCTCCAAGCCCCCTTGAGTTGGGGTATGTACACCCAGCGGAATATCTGGTGCACAAACCATGGGAAGGGAGGAAATCGTTCTCCGTGTATCCCTGACTCGTACGTAACATCTGAATTCGTGATCAAGAAAGGAACCTCTCGGACCTGGGTTCAAGATCAGCTGTTTTCCTCTTTAAGAAATAAAGACACTCACCCTGTCAGCCACTTTCTTAGAATGTGCAGCCATAGCCCTCCCAAGAAGATTCCAATCAATCTTTTCACCCTTCGCCAGGCTCTCAAGAAGGTCGATTTCATTCGTGAGATGGGCCTCCAGTGCTGGTCCAAGGTCTTCAGTTATCTTCAAAATTTTGCTTCCGTCATACGTTTTTACATCGGCTTTGACATTTTGAATGTACTCATCAAGAGCCAAAAGCCCAGGGAGGAAAGTCTCGTGCTCTGTATGGTTTCTTGACATGACTCCTTTCTCCGTGGATTGCTCCTCAAGCAGCGGGAAGTACACCGTCTCCTCGGTATTGTGATGTGAATGGAGAGTGCATGACCAAGCATCACAGAAAGTCATAAAGTCCAAAATGTCTTCAGGCTTCTTGACATGGTTGGCCTGAAGAGTGATGCAGTTGAGTCCTCGGAGGACGATGTTGTGTACCAAGGCCATTTCGGACGCATTCGAGACGCACCCGACTCTGGCTGCCCCTGATAAAGGTCGTCAGAATTGTTTCATTGAATATTTTGTAAGATCTTCACCTCTAGAGCTGCCCTTGGCGTTGAAAGCAGTTTGTAGGGGCCGTCAGCCCACTTCTTGGTCAACATTTGGGGGATTGAGGGAACAGAGACTAATGAAAGAGAACATCGTTTCGAAAATGGGAGCACTCCTTGACTTGGAGGAAACAGAGATGATCGTTTCAAAGGGTGGGAGGCCGCGATGCATCGTTCGATTTGTGGTGTGATTCTTCTACATGTGACGCTCGATTTAACGAGCCATCCGGATCGCGACGGGCGATCTCCATCCATCAACCACCACTGTCGGATATATGCAGCACAATGAATTAGGGCAGAGGGAAGAAGGGCAGAGTTATGCAATGATCTGGAGGATTGACTGAAGAAGGGGAGGAGGAAAGAAGCACCCGCCGGAGGCTCGAATGTGGTGGCAATTCGCAACTTGGCTATTCGAATTCGATACAGATCTCACTCCAGCACGAACACTTGCCCGATATCCCGCCGATTCGAATACGCGTGCTCATAGAACACAACTAGACGGCAGATTGGAGATGCAAAGGATGATTCGCGGAGGAACGTAGAGCACGACGATGGCATGAGACTTCTTCCAGGCGTTGGCATGGTCTTTTTGATACCCACAGGCCACCTTCCGTCCACCTCTCGAGTTGAAGGTAGTTCAAAGCGCCAAAACGATACGCAGTAGCACCCTTGCGAGCAGGGCTGAATTTGCGGTTTGAAATGCCGTTGTGTTGCTTGGTTCCCCGGGAGAAATAGTACTCTCGAAGGAGCTCCCGCGATGACGAGGAATGATTCCTCGTCAGGAGCTTGTTATCACTTTCAAATACTGCATTAATGCTACTGTCTTACCGGGTGGTTTGAGATATTAATTTGATCGTCGTTACGTCGGGACCAAGTTGTGCCGATGGCTTTCTCTTCTTTCCTAGTCTCACTCACTCCGTCCGAATCAGCTCCAACAGCCTGCTTTTCGTCCTCAACCTGAGGTGGATGTGGAATGGCGCCGGTAGCAAGTAGATCAATTATTTTGCGACATGTTTGACTTCACGGGTGATGGCAAGTTGCCCTCCAGATTCTGGGCAATCCAACTCCGAGGGTGTTCACCCTGCCCATGCCCGGACGACGAGATGTCATCGCCGTCATTCTCATATTATCCGACCGATACCAGGACCGAATATTGTTCTCATCCCATGTATCAGCTCACAAGAAAGAATTTTCATGGTGAATTCAAGCTCTTGGCTGATGTTCACAAGGCTGCAGCTTGAAAATCTGGGGTGGGAGTGGTGTCAATGTGTCGATTGGCGAAGCCGGGTAAACTTGCCCCTTGCACACTGCATACATAGTGCATTTCGAATCTCAAGCTCTAGAAGTCTCAAGACTTCTCCTCTCACTATCAACGTCTTTTACGCATGAATAATCTTATTTGCCGAGTGCCTCGATGGGATTGGCATTGCAATATCAGGTATCCTCCTCCCCGGGCATGCCAGGCGGAGCCTCACAGAGTGAGTTTTGTTTTGGCCTCGCAATGCTTTGATTGCTCTACCCCATCTTCCTCCCCGGATTAAGGATTTCCACACACCGACTGTCGGGGGAACAAGAGTTAATATCAGCCCTTTCTTCCCACATGACTAACAGTTCTTTTCGAGGATTTCTCATTATAGGTGCACATTTTTTGTCCCATTGATCTAGCTATCTCCAACTATTGGCGGTCATTTAAGTTACTCGTTCATTATGTTGCTTCTCATATTAATTTCTTCAATCTCCTCAGTGGCCGCTGTTTCACCCCTGGCAGTAAGTTGAGAGGAAATCTTGGTGGGCTTCGCCGTTTTAGTTGACCCAATACTCAGGGTGTCAACATCGCGGGTTTCGATTTTGGCACTGATATCACTGTGAGTCGTCTTGGCAGATGGCCATTGAAGTTTACTAACACCTGCCCAGGGAACTGCCAATCTGATAAATGTGAATCCTCCTTTGACAACTCTCGGTGGCAGCGATGGCGCGGGACAAATGACACATTTCTTCAAGAAAGATGGGTTGAACGTTTTTAGACTACGTGGGTTACTTCGTTCTCTGCTCTGTTGCCGAGCCTAACATATGAGCAGCCGTCAGTTGGCAGTTTTTGATCAACAGCAATGTTCTCTTGGGTGGAAGGGCGGGCAACGGTACCATGAGCCCCAATATGATAATGCCTACGCCGCCAAAGAATGGTACTGCCCCGAGGCCATCCAAGGAAAATTTTATCAATATCTTGGACGCAAACAATGTTGTAAAATACGATCAGCTCGTGCAGGCATGCCTCGCAACCAGGGCAAAATACATTATTGATATTCACAACTACGCTTGCTTCAACGATGAAATCATCGGTCAAGGAGGCCCTACGAATGCACAGTTTGCAGATCTCTGGGCACAAATTGCTACAATGGTAAGTCGTTCAGTAATATCAGAATTCTCCCTGCTCATTTTCTCAAGTACAAAGCAGAGCCAAATATAATATTCGGACTCATGAACGAGCCTCACAACATCCTTGATATGCCAATCTGGGCGGATACGGTGCAAGCAGCAGTTACAGCAATCCGACAAGCTGGTGCCATAACACAAATGATCCTTCTCCCAGGCAACAATTTCACTTCAGCACAAACCTTCGTTAGCAACGGCTCCGCCGGAAACTTGAGCCGAGTCCACAATCTCGATGGATCAAACACTAGCTTGATATTCGATGTCCACAAGTATCTAGATTCCGATAATAGCGGCACTCACACAGAATGCACTTCCAACCATATCGCGGACACATTCATGCCTCTTGCCATGTTTTTGAAAGCGAATAATAGAATGGCATTTTTGACTGAAACAGGGGTGGGAATACGGTTTCAGTAAGATACTCCCCTCTCTCAACTTCTAGCTTCTCTTCTAATCTGTACAAGTGTTTAACAAAATTCTGTAACACACTTACCTTCATCAATGCCAATCCCGATACGTACCTGAGCTACGTCGGATGGGCAGCTGGAGGCTTCTCTCCCTCTACCTATAACTTGACGATGACGCCGATTGGATCATCGGGGAATTTCACGGATCAACCGATTGTGGCGCAATGTCTTGTGGGTACACGCAACGGACAAGGAATAGCTAGCTTCAAAAAGCGTAGTATTCGCCGTGGATGATAAGGTATTGGTCCTCGCTAGCCAAGAAGATCTCTCATGAGTCCATGCTTTTATTGCGTTGCTAATATTTGGGATATTCGGTATATAGGTAATCCAAGCTATTCAACCCGCCTGTAATTTTCTCTATTAATTTCTTACATGTGAATTCACAATAGCTTGTTGTTGACGCAACCGGTGATTGGAGATCCCAGTAGATTGATTCGTGTACGGATGGACGGACGAGCCCGACGGCAATCAATAACATCGGATTGGGACAACGTATCGCACCAAAACAATGCCAGTTGGTCAAGCTTCCAATAAATTTTCGGCGATCCCTAGAACCGAGGAGTTGAGATGCGATGATACTTCCCTTCACTGCTCAACCGTTTCTCCATCTCCGACTCCCACACCTGGTTCGTGTCTATCAAGCGAAATATGTCTTCGGATTCAGAAAGTATCTACTTGCCAATCGTAGACACCCCGAAAAATTCTCAGCTCGCCATTGCAAGAAAAGTCACAGAAGCATGCCAAAATTGGGGATTCCTTCTGATTAAGGAACATTCCATCCCCTCAGGCGAAATCGCGAGATGTTCTCGCTTGGAAAACCCTTTTCTCCATATTCGAAGAGCGGAAAGAGTCTTGGCCTAGCACTTCGAAGAATATCAGGTACGTTGGAGCTTGACGGATTCACACAAGGATAACAAGATGTCGACGTGGTTTGGAGGCGTTCCGGGATCTTTGCAGGGCAATGAAGCTCTGCCTCCTTTCTGGAGTGCGCATACCGAAAGGGTAGAAGGGTTCAAGCATAAGTATGCATCTCTTCGACCTTGGCTTCTCTGTCGGGTGTTCCAGGACAACTTCAACATTAAAATCCAGTCTATTCCAGTTGTTCTGCCGCTGGTGGGCAGTCTGATTCTGTCTCCTTAATAAAACCCACTGGAGATTTCGAACCTTTACGTGGTTTCATTTTAGATGGTCCGCAAATCAGACAACATGCCGGAGTAATACTGAGACATCAACTAGGTGCCACGATCCAGTCCTCAAACTCCTCACCCACTTTACACTCGCCACCGACCTTCCAGATTGTAACTTCTTCGCCACCGCACATCAAGAAGACTCGGGAAACGGCAACAGTCTCCGCATGCTCATGTATCCTTCCCGCGACCAGCGACCAGAAGCCACAAGAATGATAGAGCACATGGGCTCCGGTTCCGTTCCGTTACTCTTCCAACACCAACCGGGACTCGAGGTTTTTTCTCCTACTAAGAATGGATCAAAGCTCCTTGTGCTTCAGCCTGTGCGTTTGTTTTATTTCGCCAGTCTTTGAAAGCTCCTTAGCTCCAAATGGGGATATTTTTAAGTCATGTTAACGTCGTATTCTTGGCTGGCATAGTATTGCAATTTAGCTCTTATATAAGAATTGTTCGGTATCATTACCATTTCTTGAGAGGCTGCTCTTTACTAATTTCAAGGGGCGTAGAGGACAACCGTATCCGTATCTGAGCATCTGGCCCCGCATCGAATACTAGGGCCTCTATTGTGACGTCGATTCATTAATCTCCTGTCGGGTAGTCTGCAAGAATTTGTTGCTGTGCTCTTTTTAGATTAGATAGGTAGAGTAATGATTGGATGACTCGTATAAGGTGGTACATTTCTTCTTGATGTTTATTAATGACTCGCATCAGCTGAGACCAGCTGTGCCTGGAGTGTACTTCAATTACAAAGAGAAGGAGAATATTTCTTGAGGAACTCATGGATCCATTACTATTTCACATGCCTTCCTTTGGTATCCGAACTCATTACAATCCCCTCAATTAATTGTTCATAGAGTGAATGCAAACCACCCGATAGATATCATGAATGCCAACATACCAACCAACAAGCCCCTTTGGACTCTTTTGGTTGGTGCAGCGCCGGTGAAAGGAAAAGGACTAGCCGTGGCGGTGCCCGCGGAAGTCGTGTTTGTCGCAGATGTGTCGCTGGGTTGACCAAGTCCAAGGCAGTTAGCCATATTGAAGAAGATATCGATGTTGCCATATACACCCCCGAAGAGCTCTTGGCAAGGCCCCATTGCAAAGACGGGAACATCAGTCAAGGAGTGGACGCCCTGTGCCTCGTTTCTGATACATTAACGTCAGCATATACTTCCAAGAAGCTTGAGGCTGACAACTTACGTTGGAAGAGTTCCGTTCACAGTGAAGCCATCGGGGTTGTCAGTAGGGTTGACAAAGTAGTCATCAACTGGGTATCCGGTGATGTTGGTGGCTGGGAGACGAGGACCGGACTTGTGGACCCTGTAGTTCTCTCTGTGGTCTGGGTTGGCTCCGAGACCTTGAGCGAGAGTGTATCTCGGATCCCAGTTGACTGGGAAGTTGACTCCAGTGTTGTACGAGATACTTGCATTCGTAACAGTGTACTGGCTGAGGCCAGAATTGGTGTACACGCCGATTGCGTTGCGCTTTTCTCGGTCGTTGGTCTTGGAGCTCAGATACTTAGTGTCTGCTGATCCGAAGACGTCAAATCCGTGGCCGTGATCTGCAGTAACAATAATCAAAGTTTGGTTCAGTTCTCCCATCGCTCTCAACTTCTCGATCGTAGCTTTGATGGTGTCGTCTAGTTCCAGCAAGTCACCGAGGGCTCGGTCGTAATCCAAGGTGTGCATTTGCTTGTCGATTGAGGCAGCTTCAGACATCATAAAGAAACCCTTTGATCCACCGCGAGCATGGAGGACGTCGATGGCTTTGAGGGTCATTTCCTTCAGACCTGGAAGATCTAACGCAGGCTTCTTGTTTCCTGATGGATCATTGCTTGTCTTATTGAGGTTGTCTTTGTAGACGTTGCGATCGAGCCAAACAGGAAGGTTGGATGTGCAGAAAATCCCGAGAGCCTTGGTGGTGTTCGATGCTGCAAGCATAGATGTTTTGTTCATAGAAATTGAGTATCCGGCGTTTGAAAACTCCTTGTAATAGTCCTTGCCCTGGAAAGATCCAGATCCGGCAATGAACTGCTCTGCGCCAGCACCGAAGAAGACGTCAGCGCCAGTATACTTCGTCCAAGTGTAGTTTGAAACACCACGGAGAGCTTGATCGATCAGTACTCCGTACTGTGAGCGAAGTCTGGTATGTCCCGTCAAAGCAATTGGAGTTGCATCCGCGATGAAAGCAGTGCTGACAACACCAATTGCACTTCCCCAGATTCGGGTGAGAAGCTCGACGATTGTCTCAACTTTGGGGTCATCGAAAGGATCAGCACTGGAATCAGCATATACACCCATGGCATTGACGGTACTCTTGTGACCGGAGTACAGTGCGGATGCGCTGTTGGCAGAATCGGTGATGTAGCTGTCGAGGGAATGCGTCTGAAGAGAAGATTAGCTTGTGAGACTCGACCAGAACTGGAAGAACCTGCCATCTGATGCCCGAGGACAGGAAACTGATCCATCTGCATCTTCGTCTGATACTTCCCGTTGATGCTCTTGTGCGCGATCAGACGTGCAGCAGTGATCATGTTTGTAGTCATGCCGTCGCCGATGAAGAGAATGACATTCTTGGCCTTCTTTTGAGTCGAAAGAGGGCGTACGAACCAGTTCGCAACAGTTTTCGTTCCATTGTAGTAGGTGAGAGTCGCTACATAGTCTCCTGGCTCGTACAGCGCGACACGCCTGTAGGCTTTGGAAGTCACACGGACGACTGATGGAGAATGGGCGTCTTGTGCGAAGAGATCCTCGTACCATGTGAAGTTCCAGGTCTCCAACTTTGGTTCCGCTATCTTAAAGAATGATGCGGCAGATTGTGGAGTGCCATTGGCTTTTGCGATGGTGAAGGTGAAGTTTGGATCTGGTACGCCGCCGTTCGCCTCAGAGCCATTGACAGGCGCATGAACCTAATAGATCAGCTAATTGAGAAACAGGAACCTGTTAAGTTATAAATACCTCCAATCGAATGTCGAAGTACTGTCCAGCTAGGAAATCTGTTTGGTCTGGGGGAAGAACGCAACCCAGAGCTTGATCTTGGTTAGGATTCGCGGGGTAGGAGGGGTAGCTTTTTTCGTACTTGGACATGCACCTAGTCTCTGGAAAGTCTGGGCAACTGACAATGCAACGATCGACAACACTGTCAAGAGCTTCGAAAACGAAACCATGGTTATGAGATTCAATGGGATGGGCAAGAAAGTCAATTGGCAGACATCACGGCGTGGACATCCAGGTACCCTGCCTTTATAGCGACCGGGTGACAGCTGCTTTCCAGGCAGGTACCTCGAGCTTGAGCTTTCAAATCATCACTTGGGACGAAGGCCCAGCTTCTAGGTGCATAGAGTACCCTGCACAATGCCTCATTGTACAGCAGTAGTGAGAGCAGATTATCCGCGGATACCTGAAATGAAGGAATCATGAACCTGTTTGAATGCACGTGTTGATTAAAATGACTTGGCAGTCACTTGGCTTAAGCAGCCAGAACTAGCTATCTCTGTGTACCTGCCCGGATTGTGACCGCCTAATGCCTCCTTGCGGGTGCTCCGAGATAGTCAGATAGTGCCCAGAATGGACTCAAAAGTTCTAATTCACGCATCACAGGCACAGCTAGTAAAGTGCAAAGGGTCGGACTGACAGCTTGGCATCCGCTCGTCGCGGAACAGCGTGCTGTTCTTCACTTGAATGATTCGCGGTGTGTTGCGCTGCCAAGCGTCTGGTTCACTGGAACGTTGACAAGGGGACGCCTAAGAAAGCTTGACCAACATTGAGGGTTTGAGAATGGGCATGAGCCAATCACCCACCACGTGCAGAGAATGCATGCAAAATTCCGTTTGGTGAGTAAGGGCCATCGAATTGATACTCTATGGGTTGCAAGAATGCAAAGAAGATGGATGGATCAGAGGAGGGGTTTCGATGGGAGGAGGTTGGGGATGACGAATCAGTGGGGTTGGTGGCTTTCCAGATGACTCAGCAGCGGAAATTCAACTTTACGATCGTATGCACTTGCATTTTGATCTCGGCGTCAAAGGTTCCCAGCGTGCTCTGCTGCCCGCGTCAATCCACACGAGCTTGATAGTAAGTAATTGATCCTCCCATGGGTAGTTGATACCCAGCTCTTAATACGCCCGCCTCCAAGCCCAGTACTTCTTCTCTGGACGGGCTTTTCCTTGCGTGAAGTCCACACGCGGCAGTGTTGCAGCGGTGGGCTACATTTTCTCCAGTTCCTTCGTTGACTTAGGCCTACATGTACTCCCTGAAAGAGGTGTTCAACGGCTGGCAGAAAAGCATGGCTCTGAGTACTCGAAATCCAACGTACAATCGCTAATTTGCTACATTAATCAACATAGACTTCACCGTCAAATACTCCTGAATCCCCTGCCGACCTCCCTCCCTGCCATATCCGCTCTCCTTCACACCTCCGAAGGGACTCTCACACGCGCTGAGAAGTCCCAAGTTCACGCCTACCATACCCACTTCGAGCGCTTCCGCTACTCTCCAAGATCGTGGAATGCTTTCCGTGACGATGAAAGCCCCAAGCCCAACCTCACAATCATTTGCCATCTTGATAGCCTCTTCCTCGGTATCAAACTCATACAATCCTACAACTGGGGCAAAGGTCTCCTCCCGTGTGGTCAGCATCTGGGAGCTCATATTTTTGATAATGGTAGGCTGGAGGAAGTAGCCACCCATCCCATCCATTGGTGCACCGCCGAGGATTACCTGTCCGCCGTGTTTTTTCGCGTCTACATAGGATCAGTATTGTACACGAGTAGGCAGAGATAAGAATATGCTAGAGCAGACATATTGCAGGACGCCCTCGTCGTGGGGCAATGTCCCATGGAAGTTGGAGCGTTCACTCGAGCCTAACTCACCATTTATATGGGCCATCGCTTTTTCCACAGCCCTCTCGTGGGTCAACGGTCCGATGAAAACACCCTCCTCAGTTCCTTTGCCAACTTTCAACTCCTTGATGCGTGCCGCCAACGCGTCCGCAAACTTGTTGTATATACCCTTCTGGACCATGATTCGATTGGCAGTGACACAAGTTTGACCGGAGTTCCTCAACTTTGCCAAAATGCACGCTTCGACTGCTGTCTCGATCTTTGCATCCTCGAACACAATGAAAGGGCTATTCCCACCGAGTTCAAGACTTAACTTTTTCAAGCTGCCCGCACATTGTTCTGCTAAAAGCTTCCCTACTCTGGTAGAGCCTGTGAAGCTGAGCTTCTTGACCAGTTTGTTTGTGCAAAGCTCTTTGCCGACTTCTGCGACCAGATTCAAGGTTGTCACAACGTTGATGGCGCCTTTTGGGAAGCCTGCCTCCTGTGCCAAAACAGCTTGTGCGAGGCAGCTGAGTGGGGTCTCTCCTGCTGGCTTCCATACTGTCGTGCATCCTGCAGCTAAGGCGGCTCCGACCTTGCGTGTTATCATCGCGATGGGGAAATTCCAAGGCGCCAGACACGCCGCTACTCCAACTGGCTGCTTGAACGTCAAGATGCGTTGATTCTGGTTTGCGACCGGAACCACTTCGCCATGGGTTCTCTCTGCTTCCCCAGCGAACCACTCGAGGAAAGATGCAGCATATGTGACTTCTCCTTTCGCTTCCGTCAAGGTCTTCCCATTCTCAAGCGTCAGAATCAAAGCCAAGTCGTCGATGTGCTCTAAGCAGAGGTCGTTCCATTTTCTAAGCATTCGAGCTCGCTCGCGCGGTGTCGTCTTCTTGAAAGACTGAAATGTTTCGTATGCTGCTTCGACTGCAAGTGCAGTGTCTTCTGCTCCCATTTCGGGCACAGTGGCGATCTTTTCCAGGGTTGCTGGATCGACGACGTCGAACGTCTTCCCAGATTTTGCTGGTACCCATTCTGCGTTGATGTATCCTTTCGTTTGGAAGAGGTTTTTTCGTTTGAGATCCGAAAGTGATGTTGGTGCCATTGTTTGAAGTTTCCCGTTAATGAATATTGTTGCGGATTCTTGTTGTCTGGATTTAGGAGGGTGGCGTCAGGCTGGTCATTACCCCAACAAGTCAATATTCTTGTTGTTCCTACTAGCACTGGGATACTTATAGATCCCCGCATGCGGGGTAACTTCTCGGAAGAGGGGAACGGGAATGATTCCGCACTGGGGATTGGCCACGTTGACGTCGCACAATGCGAACGAAATTCTCGGGGCTGGGTTTGTAGGGCTGGTGAAGGTGCACCCAAGACCACATGCAATCTGAAGTACTATGAAGAGATTCTTTGACTTAAGTACAGCACAGATTCTTGAGAAACAATTGCTTCGCGCCTCCCATTACCGAAATCTCCTATATCCCCCGCGAGCCTCTGTTGTAGCCATGCGCCTCAACTCAAGTAGTCCTTGATCTCACTTTGAAGTTGAAGAAAAGTCTCCTTGTCGTGGCCTGGAATGACCCTACCTTTCGTGGTTGCCTCCAATCGTTTCAATCTTTGAGTACTCTGGAACCATGCTGGATGGTCACTATTTCCTGTCAGCCTTGACTCCTATCTATACCGCGTGAGTGGCCTACCGTGCCAACCACCCTTGCGGGACTCCGTCACGCCACTACCCACGGTCAGTATAGCCAGCTAGTTATGATTGCAAAGTCAACTCACATTTTCGATGACATGGCAGTGGTCACTGATAAAGAAGAATGTTCCGCTGTTTAGCAGATTGAGCTGCATACCGACCAGGCCGTCTGTATGCCCAGGCAAGTGATGGAGGGTGATGCCCTGACAGAAGTCCATTGTTCTTTCATCGAATGTCTTCCAATTCAGTGAGAGCTACGAGTCTATATTAACACACGATCGGAGTCGGAATCTAAGATGTCTCTGCTTACATTCATGTAGTGCTGGAGATAAACACCAACATCTGCGCCAGTCGCAACAGACCAGAAAGCAGAACGCAGCTCCTTGTCATGTACCCAAATCTCAATATCTTTCCGGTCCAGGAATTGGTCCAAGCCTCCTGCATGATCCAGATGCATATGTCCTAAGATACTAATTCCAAAGGTCAGAATGTAGAAGAAAAATCATTTTTGGGAGGAATCACATCTTCTTCACATCTTCCAACTTATGCCCCGTGGCCTCAATGGCAGCTTTCAGTTCATGCCTTGGCTCATATCGAACTCGTGCAAAGACGTCGGCTACTTGCGGGCCCCAGACTTCAGGATAGTCAACTCCACATCCCGTCTCCCAAAGAATGCAGCCCTCGTGGGGGTGATCGATTAAAACGCAGTACATTGGGAGCTCTCGGCGCTTGTTGGCGAATTCTTTCCCCTCTGTGCTCTTCAAAGATGTATTCCCACCTCTTGTGACGAAGCCTTCATCGCACTCGAGCCAACCAACCTCGAGAAGATAGGCTTTGGTACCCGGGGGACATACCTAGATCATCTCGAGTCAGTATTACTGCATATTGGATATTGGACTCTATACATTTGAAATATGGCCTGGGACTGCACCAGCATCGAGAGCCTTTTGAATTCCAGCCATGTTCACGGTGTATTATTCTTTCCAAAAACCACAGTCTTCTGAGCGAAGATATAAACCAATTGATATATATTAATGAAGGAGGGGTAACACTGGAAATAAGGTCCAGTCCCCTCCAGCCCCGCACTCGTAATCTACCACAAATTTCCCCCAGGAGTCAGGACCCGAGGGACAAGTGACGTCGAACCCTAAACCTCCATTTCCCCGCTCGTTCAAAGACCATTCGAGATTGCCCAAGTGCCGTCTGTGGGGTACTGGCAGAAGATGGTTCCGCACCTTCCGGGGTCTGGGCTACTCGTGGCTTATGGCCGTGGCATTTCCGATCCCACACATCACCAGCGTCGAAGTTCTGTTGGCGAGAACACCAACCCAAGCGTCGGATATGGGCCATCAATTATTAAACCAATTTCGAGGTTGGCTCGCACTCGCAGATGGTGGATTTACGCTGGTGCAGGCCCTAATGTTTGTCACACCACCTTTGCAGGGGTTGCGCTGAAATGCCCTATAGCAGTGTGCTGCAGCCGACTGTTGCTTGTTCTTGGCAGAACTCAAGGCGGTGTAACAAACATTAGGGCCTGCACCGGCGTGGCTCACAGCTGGCCGAATTCGGATTGACCCCTCTTCGGCATCAACAGGTTCCCCTCTTTGCTCGGCTTCTTCGCTTATTATGCAGCCTAGACGTACGACGTACCACCTAGAATCCTATCGATGAGCTCACTTCACCTTTGAAGCTTCAACCTCCTAAACAATCAAATCCGCGTTGGTTTGGTTGCAAGAAACAGCGAATTATCTCTCTCGAATCTACCAAACAACACCATGTCGAAGAATACAATGAAAGCGGTGGTCTTCAAGGGGACGTTGAAGGTGGAACTCGAAGATCGTCCGATCCCAAAAATCGTCGACCCAACGGACATGATTATCAAGGTCAAGTATTCAGCGCTGTGCGGCAGGTGAGAGGGAGTTTCCATGTATCTCGTCCCACCGGCTAACAAGGAGTACAGTGAGCTGCACGTTTTCAGAGGTCACCAACCAAGCAAGACGGATTTCATTATGGTCAGTGTACAGCTGCTATCCCAGAACCACCAAATGACTTACGTTGAACAGGGTCACGAGACAACTGGTGAAGTCGTGGAAGTCGGCTCGTCTGTTAAGAACCACAAGAAGGGGGACACGGTAGTGATGCCATTCACAGTTTCCTGCGGAGAGTGCTTCTACTGCCAAAAAGGATACTCTTCCAGGTGTGAGAAGTGCTTGCTCTTTGGATGCCCACTTCTGGATGGCGGCCAGGCCGAGTTCATGCGAGTTCCTTTGGCCGACGCAACGGCTGTGACAGCCCCAGAAGGAATTGACGAGAAGAAGTTGGTTCTGATGGCTGATATCTTCCCCACTGGATATTTCGCTGCCGCCAATGCATTCAGAGGATTTGATCAGGATACTATTAGTCAAAGCGTTGTTGTTCTCATTGGTTGTGGACCCGTTGGATTGTGTGCTTTGATTAATGCCCTCGAGTACAAACCGAAGGTTGTTATTGCCGTCGATAGAGTTGAGAGCCGATTGGCACTTGCGAAGGAACTCGGTGCCGAGCCCTGGAACGATCAGAAAGACCGCGCTGGTATGTCGTTTCATTAGCAATCGCGACTTGGCTGACTATTTCAAGGCCTGGAGAAACGAGTGAAGGAGCTCACGAATGGGAGAGGAGCAGATGCGATCATTGAAGGTGTCGGACATGCCGATGCTCTCAAGACCGGATTTGATTTGCTTCGGTGAACACAATTTCCCCGCAATGTCAAGTTTCTGTAAGAACCGTGATCTAATTCGGCGTTTGCAGTCCATGGGGAGTGATCTCGAGCTTCGGAGTTCATAACGAGGAGATACCTTGGACAGGCAATCAGGCTTACGGCAAGAATCTAAGAGTTCAGATGGGCCGATGCCCAGTGAGAAGTAAGACCTACTGGTTTCAGTTGGAGTAGTTCATGCTCACAATTATAGGTATCTTCCCTGAGGCACTCGAGATGTTGAAGAAGAAGCAGCATTTGCTGGAGTGAGTCGTTTCCTCATTGTGACGACATCCTTTGCTAACGTCAGCTAGCTTCATGACAGATAAGTTCATGCCATTGAGTCAGGCAGTCGAAGGCTACGATATCTTCAACAAGATGCAGGTTCAGAAAGTCGTGTTCGTGCCAGAACATCAGTAGCCGGGGTACAAGCATCTGTTCAATATTGAAACGCATATAAGCTCTGTAACCTCAAGTTCATGCATCTAACTCCAAGAAGGCGAGCGACGGAGTTAAGCATACTCCACCAGATGTTGACGAGTGTTCATAAAACCAGTTCTTTTTCGTTGCTTCAATGGAAGCCACATCGGAATGGGATTCGTGTCCAGAGCAAACCGAATCTTCTTGGCTTATTGGCTTGTAGTTGAAATTTTACTTCCGACGCCCAGATTTTGCCAAGTGGAATCCTCTCTGTGCCGATCTCCTTCCGATAATATTGAAAAGTTTGTTTCTGGGACCTCATTTTCGTTCGCTTCCACCCCCTCTGGCGAATTGAAATGAAAGAAATTTCAATGTCTAATAGCTCTCGAGTGATCCTGTTCTCTTCTCTGCTTCCCTGGTTGTACGTTCGGTTTATTGCTTGACACAGTTGACCAGAGCTGTACATTTACCCTTCGGGAGGTTTGGAGTATATTGCCTTTCAGGCTACTCCCTCGGACGTAAATAACTATCATCAGCATCGCCATCACCACCAGAGCTGTACATAACCTCGTAAGACCGTGGAGCCCGTTATCTGCAAAGGCTATTGGCGCAAGGTTTACCGATTTGATCTTGCATCTTCAATCAGGGTCCAAGTGGAAGATCACGAGAGCACACGATCGATTGGGATGTCGACCTCAGGCTGTTCTACATGATTTCCTCCCCGAGCATCGGTAGAATAGAGCCGAAACGACAATATGCCCCCAAGTTGCGGGGAATTGTGGGGCTTGGCGAATCCAAATCCCTGAACGACAGCTCCCTGTACACGATATGGTAGAAAATGAATCTCTTCGTCAAATTAAAATTCTCCCCACCGATTCCACAGCAAATGCGGGCACCGAAGCATCTGGGGGAGTCTAGCCATGTGGGGCATTGTGCCGTAAACATTCTTTAAAGAGTTAATAAAAGCAAGCGTCCCCTTTGTAGGAACCCTAACCTGCACCTTTTGCTGAATCTACTTTTCCCCAAGCATCAACACCGACAACTTCGATAAATATGGGTCTCGGGGTCTTGGAAGATACTCACCTGGAGCACGTGCCCGGCACTGCATTGCTCACTGATGTCATTTCGCCGGATCACCATGGAGTTCTCGACACTTCAGTCCTCAAGCATGACAAGGGCAAAGATTCGGATGTTCTACTTGTGCCACAACCATCCAACAGTCCAAATGATCCTCTTAACTGGCCACTGTGGAAGAAAGACTTGATGCTTTTCTTGATCTGTATTGACACTGCGGTTGTTGGAGCATGGGTACGTGGAGTTAGAAATTTGTGAGCAATACTGATGAACAATGTGTTCAGGGACCCATGATTTCTCCTGGATACGTCCTTATGACCGAACAATTCCACATGTCATACAATGCCCTCAACGGTGGGCTTGGGTGGGGAATCTTCGTTATCGGGATTTCATGCTTCTTCACCAACTCAATGGCTGTCATTTGGGGTCGCAGACCTATCTTCCTACTCGGAAATCTTTTGCTTTTCATCAGCAGCACATGGGGTTACTTCGCACATTCGTACTCGTCTCTTCTTGCCTCGCGATTAATTGGCTGTATCGGGATGTCTCCCTTCGAGGTGTAAGTATAATCTCTCCCGTGCTACAGTAATCTCTTGCTAATGGAACTCTAGGCTTGTAACAACGACCATTGCGGACATATACTTCGTTCACCAACGTGGTGTTCGGCTTGCAGCTTGGGGTCTCTGCCTGTCTATTGGTGTGGGCGGTGGCATTATGATTTCTGGCTACATTATCCAAGATTTGGGCTGGAACTGGACTTACGGCATCTGTGCTTGTTTCTTCGGTGTCTGGACCTTGGTCTTATTTCTTTTCTCCCCGGAAACCGCATATCGTCGAGATGCTTTGCTCAATACGGATCTTGGTACTGATGACAGAGCGGCCGAATTGATCCATGGAACGGAGGAGAAACCCATCACGAATAGCAATGTCGAGACTGTGGAGCGTGCTGATACCCATGTCACGGTCACTGAAGCCAGACAAACATGGGTCTCGGAGTTGAAAATCTTCCATGGCCGAGTTTGCGATGACAGTTTCTTCAAGGTGTTGGCAAGGCCACTGATGATGCTTATATTTCCCCAAGTCCTGTTCTCCTTTATTGCATACGGCATGACGACGTCATGGCTTATTGTGGTCGGAAGCGTTCTAGCTCAGATCTTTTCGGCGCCACCATACAACTTCACACCTTCTGGTGTTGGGCTTGTCTCAATCTCCACAATTGTAGGCTCAATTATTGGCGCCTTCACGTCGGGTCCTGCAGCGGACTGGGTGGTAAAAATGATGAGTCGCAACAATGGTGTTTACGAACCCGAGTTCAGGTTTGTGGTTGCAACCTCGGACAACAAAAATGCTAATGTCGATAGACTCGTCCTCATTGCCGTTACTCTTGTCATTGGTGGCATGTCGTTCTTTGGTTTTGGCTGGTCGATTCAAAACAGAGGTACGCGCACTGCGACCGAAACACGTAACTTGCTAACGTATCAGACCCATGGATCGGCCCAGTCATATTCTACGGCATGCAGTACTTTGCAGTTGGATTTATTAACATCGCAGTCTATGGATACCTGACGGACTGTCATCGAGACAAGGCTCCCGAAGCTTTCGCAGCAATCAACCTGCGCAACATTTACTCTTTCGGCATGAACTATTTCATCTCGTCATGGATTGATAGCCAAGGTCCGAAAGAAGTCTTCTGTATTATTGGGGGAATCCACGTTTTTATTTGCTTAACGGCAATACCAATGTACATCTATGGGAAGAGGTGTCGCAGCTGGACGAGTCGTGTGGAGATATTCCAGAAGGTGATGAGAGCTTGATTGTAGTGAGATAGCCACACTGGGTGGAGACACTCTACGAACTGGCCGGTATGGGTCAGATCAGCTCGACTCTACGGAGTAGCGGAAATTCTGCTCTGTGTTCACTTTTTCAACCACACCAGCAGTTTTATCAATTTTCTACTCTCGATTTGATGCTGCCTGGACTACATCTGATCTACTAAAACTTCAGGCGCGATCTACATCCCTTCTCTTCTCGTAAATATAGGGCCGAACTCGCAGATAGGCTGATAATACGACTCACCTGCACCAGCTTTACTTAGTTGCTGGTGGCGTGCTTAGAATATGTCTCAGATGATGTCCAGATCACCCAAAGCTTATAAAACGCAGTAGCATATTAGTAACCAAGAAACGAATGAACCGGAAACTAATTATGTAGTAGTCGAGAAGGTGAAAGAAGTGTAGCCTATAATAGCGAAAATTGAGAGAGTTCTCTTATTCAAGTTAGATGAAACGTGCGTGGCGTGGATAGGACGCGGCTGCCGTAGACTCATTGCTATGCACGGGTACGAGTGTGTGATCTTTGTTTCTGGGAATTATCTCGGCCTCTTTGCTAGCTAGGGGGCAGTGGGCCTTAGGGTATCTTTGGACTTTTGGGACTGGCGTTCAATTCAACGTTTGGGTATAGTGTTCGTATGATGTCTGGAGGAAGAGATAAAAGGGTCGTTATACCGCAAACTCTTAACGTATTATACAATCAGAAAGCGGCGCTCAAATGTGAGCAGTGTGAGAAGAGAGCAGTCCCCGTGACGTTCAGACCACAGCCGTGAGATGATGAAAAGCCAATTACAGAATCCCGAAAATTCAAGGTGATCTCGAGGATCTACAACTTGTTAGCATATGATACTTATGCCCGCAGCTAGTCATCACTCACCAATTCGATCTCAAGATCGGAAGTGAACGTCTATTCTGCGCCGTTTATTGCTGCCATCTTCCTCATATGAAGATGTTCGTCTATGGTCTTGGCCACCAAATCCTTCAGAACGATTCATGGCTCCTCCCAAATCCTGGGAAGATCCTAATCTAGGATTATCGGGAAGAGGATGGTAAGGAGTGTTCTCGGCCGATACTGTCCTCCTCGTCTCGTGGAGAGCTACAGAAGACATCTTATCAGTCGCTCCACTTGAGCCAGTTGGAGCCGTAGCAGTCCGCAATATTACAGGGTGATACGGTCCACTGTCGCGTTGTGCTGCTTCAGGAGAAGACATGACGGCCGATTGACTGTAATTAAAAGACCTTTCCGCTTTAACGCCCCCAAACTGAGACAACCACTCTTCAGTTGAAAATGGTATCGCTGGGGGACCACCAGGATTGTCTCTCTCGGTAATTGCTTCCTGTAGTTGAGGATCGTCCTGTAGTCTCAAGTAATTGTCTCTCAATTGGGCTGCCGCTTCAGCCGCCGTGATTCGAACTGTTTGATCCTCTTCCATCATTCTTTCGATGACAGCAAACATTCCATCTACTGTGATTCGCTTCCTTAGGCCTCGTCGCATGGTGTAGAATGAACCCATTGCCTGGCGGACGCAATCTATAGTTTTGTAATAGATTGCTGTCCTCTCCCCAGTTGTGGAAATGGAATTCTTTCTGTCCAGCTCGAACATATCGATGAAGTTTCGAATCCCCTCGTATTTGGGAGCTTGTGTCGCACCCATCTTACCGAAGAAGGCGAATTGAAAGGCGTACCGTATCATAAAAGCGATCTCTAATAAAACGCATCCGAGAGCCCAGACATCTCTACCACGCCCCATCAAAGATTCTCGTTCCGGGGGGCTGTATAAGGCTGTCCCACGATGCCATTCTGTCTTGGATGTCTCGTCGCTGTCTTTGAACCGGGACAGCCCAAAGTCGGCAAGCTTGAACATCCCATCGTCAATGAGAATATTCGCCGGTTTTATATCGCAGTGGATAATGAATTTTCCGTTGTTATCAGCATGCAGTGCTGCAACACCTTCAGCGAGACCGATAGCTTCTCGAAATACCGCGTACCTCCAGTCGGAGAGGCAGCCAACCAAGTCAGGATCGGAGGAGGGGAACCCCAACCGCTCCCAACGTGTGTCTTGTTCTAGTCGCAGAAACTCGTACAAATTTCCACCGCGCGCATAAGGGAGGACAATATTGAGGGTTTCAAAGCCCGAACACCTCGTCTCGAACGTAGAAAGCATGCCGAGCAGATGAGGGTGTTTCCACTTCGACACCTCGACAAGATGATCTTTCTCTCTTAAGAAATCGTCATGAACGTATGGGCGAGTTCTTGGTCTTATATAGAACCTTTTAACCGCAACTACACACTGCAAAAATTAGCTGTTGCTTGCTTCGCTAGTGAGCGTGATTTGGCTTACTGTCTTTGGAGAGAATTGTTGAAGGTCACAGCCCAAGCTAACTTTAATGACTTGACAGGAGCCATCCTGATGGATGCGGATGTGGTCCTTAAGATACTCGTCGTGGGGATCTTTGAAAATATGGTGCTCGTATAATCTCAGTCTGGGTCTCGCGAGCGGAACCAGATCGACCTCGGAGTCTTCGAGCCCACCAAAGCCAGCTCGATACAATTCTGCCGTTGCTGTATGGACTGTTTGGCGTTGAATAGTGTCGCACAGTCCGGAAATAGTGAACCCATCTGGACTCGCCGACGCCATGGAACCCAGTGTAGATGACAGGGCGCTGGTCTCAGACCCGTTAGTAGCCAGGACGCTTAGCATATTCCCCCTCTGATTGCGTCTCAGGGCATCCATTTTTTTGCACGTTTCTTTCCACATCTGTGCGTAGTGATGAGGGCGCATATTCGTAGTGTCAAATATCAAGAGAACTTTCGCCACAGCAAGCAAGATCCTCCTGTCAACATAATCCGTCCATTGGACCGTAGGCTCAGTGTTCTGGTGAGGCTCCAAGAACAAATGGCCTTGATGAACGTAGCTGCTTCCAGAATAGACAATCACGAGCAAATTCTTCTGGCTGTCGTTCTCTTTCACGAAACCCTCGATGACATATGAAAAGACGCGTTCACTGTCTTTGAGATCTGTGTGATCTACACTCGTCGATTGACAGAATGCACCGTACTTGTCATGAAACACAGACTGGAGTTCCTTGATCTGCAGTCGCATTAGATCACATTCGTTTGTGTGGCAGACTGCAACCTTGCCTGTTCAATTTTATCGTTCGTGGCATCAGTCCAGCTCAGGAACAAGCAGCACAACTTCTCGTACGTTGCTGGATTTCCACAAACAGTTGACGACCCATCTTGCGACGACATTGCGGCACCTGTTGCCAAACCGATTCAATAGACGGCGATCACGACATGGTGATCGGTAAGAGGGCAAGTCAATTAATTTAGGAGGCAATTATTACGACAGGTGGGGAAGAAACGAGTGATGCCCAACGCACAACAGCAAAGCAGGGCGTTGGGCACAAAGTCTCGTTCGTTACACATCATGCCCAATCACCACGGCATAAGGAGGAAAAGTAATATATAATACCTCAAGTTCTAATGGATCAAGCGAAAGTGCCGATATTTACGTATGTGGGCTATTGCCGAAACAGTGCGGTGCTTAATGCAATTGACACCCAGCATTTCTTTAAGAGTTATTGGAAATTCCGGCCTCGCTCGACGGGCTCGATCGCGTTGGATACAGAGAAGTTTCACGAACATTTAGAGATATCAACGGCCACGATGATTCGCGGTTCCCCGTTTTGTCAAACCGAGGTTAAGCCTTCAGGGGATGTTCTCGGTTGTCCTCCAGCAGACTACTTATCTGAAGTAAAGCTGTCTGAGGAAAGAGTACCTGTGAACAAGTCGCTTCAAGGTGGAGAGCCATCTTTTCTACTTTGGAACACCAACACCTCTCGATCACACCAATGCACTGTGTTTACAACGTCAAAGGCGTGCATCCGACGGAGGACGGGTGTGGGGGGGGGAGCTCGGAAGCTTGAGAACCTACGACTTGATCCTCAAGAGATACCTCCTGGCATTAATACGAAAGCGGTGACGACTCAGTGCGCGCCTGTTGGGTGCCCTACCACATCGAGACCTTGTGGCTGGTCGAGTGGTTTTGTCGACTTGTTTAAAACATTCCAAAGACCCTTCTAGCATCGCGGTTGGAGTCTGGATCGCAACGTTTCACCCAATGCGAAGTTTCTTGTAGAGAACACTTGGATTTGTATTTGAATTACCGGGTTTAACTTTGGATACTTCTCTTTTCCTAGTAGCTATATAAGTTGATTCAGGTGACCTTGCGCCAAAAGGTGAAAATTGTGAAGTCACACTTCTAGACCTCATTGTTTAAACTACCTTAAGCTGCTTGGCTTTGACGGTCACTTGCTCGAATTCTAAACTATCCCTGTTCTTTCGAAATGACTACGGTGGAGAGCCCATCTTTTAAAAATAGTGCGCTCTACTCAATACTCCGTAGAGATGAACTGCCAGCAAGGACTAATGGAACTCTAATCTCTCACACCCAAGGTCAATAACACTTTAAAATTTCGGCCTGGAACCTTAATAGATGTTAGAAACTAGACCCCCTCGCATATTCGACGACGTCGGTGCTTTAGCCGTATCTGCAACGAGCTTCATAACTCGCGATCTTAAGAATGACTCTCAGAGGTTGAAACTAAAGCATTAAACAATTATTTCATTATTTACAAGCTCGGGATCTATAGAAGCGATACACTCCAATAAGTAGGTCATTAATTGTAGTTGCGGGTGTAGCAGAGGGAAATCTCTCCACAATCATATCAGATTATTAACTACTCAGTCTTCTGTTCACTTAAACCCCACAATTTTCATCCTAACTCGATTTTTAATTATTTCATTCAATTCTGCTTCCGATTTCACTTAAAATTTGTAGCCTACTCTAATTTATCAGTCATCTTCCAAGCATCTACCATCTCATCGGTATTCCGACTCCAATCCGCACTTTTGTAACTCTCCTCCAATTCTTTCATATTCTCTCGCAACTCGTGCTTTAGAGTTGACCAGTCAACCCTCAAGAGCTTCCCGTTTTCTTTCACCACCTCGCCATTTATGATAACATGCTCAACATCCGACGGTGAGGCATGCAAGACCAAAGCTGCAGCAGGGTCACCAGCAGCAACCATGCAAGGCGAGTCAGTACTGATGAGAATGATATCTGCTCGTTTCCCAACTCCGATACTCCCGATCTCTGACTCCCGATGAATTGCCTCTGCACCACCTAACGTGGCCATGTAAAGCACCTGGTCTACTGTTGCCTGCAGTTGTTTTGGAATCTTGTTCCTGCAAGCCAGTTCATGATTGTCGCGAGCTCTTTGCATCTGAAGACACATACGCATTGCAGAAAATAGATCTCCACTACAGATCGCACTTGAATCAACACCAAGGCCCGTCTTGCAACCATGCCGCATCGCTGGAAATGCTTCGGGCCACCCGTGTCCCATTTGCATCTCAGATTCAGGCGTTGATGAGATGCCCACTCCGTGCCGTTTAGCGGCTTCAAAATCCTCTTCCAAGGGAAAAGTAAAATGTGACAGGACCATGGTATCGGAAAGAAGATTGTTTTCGCGTAGGAATTTCATAGCAGACATTCCGTGGCGACGGCAATCGTGGAATGTAATGGGAAGCCCTCGATCATGGGCAAATTCCAATAACTTCTTCGTGTCTTCAACTGGACGATATTCGATGCCATCATAGCCAAGCCCGAGTGTAACTCTTCCATCATTCTGCAAGTTGCCAAGTGGGACTTGATTAGACAACTTGTAAAATTGATGTAGCTGCCGCTGGTGAAGTTCATTCGGCTTGTCGGAGAATCTTAAGGGATTGATGCTCTCGGGGAGACCATAGGGTGCAAAACAGTAGATACTCCGAAGGCCCGAGTCAATGCTGGCCCTAATGCATTGTTGGATATGTTCTTCGGAAAGCTGAATGTGAGAATGATCGAGAACGGTGGTAACTCCGCAATGAATTGCCTCAGCCGCTGCACCCAGTTGGGCAAGGTACACGTCATGCGGTTTGTAGAATAACGCTCTTCCAAAGAGAAGGTGCCCACAGTATTCTAGCAAGGTTTGGTTCGCAACTGATGTTCTTAGGTGTGATTGCCAAAGGTGGCGATGGGTGTCCACGAATCCAGGACAAACAATTTTCCCACTTGCATCAATGATCTTTGTTTCTGGCCTTGCAGGAATGTGATGTCCAACCTTTGATATAACTGTACCTTCCACGAGCACGTCTAGGACACTAAAGGTGGCCTTCTTCTCTTTGTCGAAAACCAGGACGTGGCCTCCTCGGAGAAGGACTGAATTAGATACGGCAGTCATCTGGAAGAAAGCTATTTGTGCGCTTGAAGGCCGAATAAACGTGTAGACTGCGTTGAGGTGACGACGAGAGATTGCTAATGTTGGCTCGGAGAATCGGCCGAAGAGGACGAGGAAGAGTAAGATATGCAACTCAACTAGATATATTGCAGCTCAATACGAGAATTGCAGTTTCATGAATACGCCCACGCATCCCCCCTTTGGGTGCAGCACCAAGTCCTCTCCACTACTAGAAAGGCACCGCAGCTCGTATAACGTAAACTCCTCGCCAAAGTCATGGACACGTTACAGTCTTGGTGGACTCCAGTACGGTTTGTCATTTCTAGCAAGCACAGGACGCGCAATCATGGAGCTGGAATGTCACTCCTTTCAGCAAACGCTGCGGGTAGTGCGGGGTTGCGGAGCTAAGCTGCGGGGTTGCAAATGAACCGCGATCGGAACTCCACCTGAACTTACCCTTGGATAGCACTCGCAATTTCAATTGGAGTGAGAAAGAGAAGCCAGAAAGCTTTTTTGGTATCCTAGTCCTCACTCAGCTCTTACTCATGATTATAAATTCAAGGTCAATACCCGACATACCCGGCTATTTGGGCTATTTACGAAATCTTCATCACGATATGGAGTCTTGGTGAGCCGTTTGGGTTAGAGCAGGGATCATATGTCATCATTTTCTTAAGTAACTCCTAACCCGAGGTGACATCTTTACATAGCCTATTAAGCGGATCACGGACGGATCATCGACAGATATAAGGAAAGTTGGAGAACGATAAACTGACTTAACTGGAATAAAGTGACTGGTCAGAGGGATCATATGCTTTGCCAAACATGCCACGACTCATTGCAGTGACGGGTGCGACAGGCAACCAAGGCGGATCTGTTGCGAAGCTTCTGCTTCAACATCCCGGGGAATACAGAGTACGAGCTATTACTCGCGATGCACTTTCAAGTTCATCAAAATATTTGGCGGATTTGGGAGCCGAAATTGTGCAGGCCGATTTAACAAAGCCAGAAACGTTGTCAGCCGCGGTGCATGGTTGCTGGGGAGTTTTCGGCGTTACTAATTTCTACGATGCGGTATGTTCTCTGGGAAATCTCTTTAGGTATGTAATACTGATCGAAGCAGAAAATTAAGGATGACCCAGGAAGCGAAGAAGTTCAAGGGAAAAATCTGGTGAAGGCGTCATATGCCGCTGGCGTGCAATGTTTTATCTGGAGCTCGCTTCCAAGCTCTGCACAAATCTCGGGAGGCCGATTGGTCTCCAAGATATACGAAGGTACGTTTCATTTGTGGGTGTGGTGGCTCTTGGCCGACAATTTTTTCTAAGGAAAACACCATGTCGATGCCTATATCAAGCAAATCGGACTTCCTGCCAGTTTCCTCTATACAGGCAATTTCTACGAAAATATGGTCCTTCGCAAACACATCACCTATAACAGGTCCAAAGACGTCGTTGAATTTCGCCACACGGTTATCAAGAGAGATACCAAATGTAAGTAACCTCTTAGTGAGCAACTTTGCATATCTACTAAAACCCCTCAAAGTAACCATGTTGTATGTCGAGAAGGATCTATCAGCCACAGTGAAAGGCATTTTCGACCAGTGGGATTCGAAAAAGAATGAACTGAATCATAAGATCCTTTATTGCACTGACGCACGTGTCTCAGCCGGGGATATTATTGAATGCATTGAGCGAGGTATAGTTGCTAGCTCCCAAAATATGAGCCCCAGATTAAAATCGACTAGTGACCGGTAAAAAATGCACTTGGGAGTCATTGCCGACGACAGGCGTTCCTGATCGGGACATTATGTATCAACTGTATAACGAGATAGGAATGTATGGGAATAAGGAACTGCCTGATGAGAATATCGTAGCCCTAGGGGTAAAGATGCATGGTATCGAGGATTTTGTACGAGAACGCTTAGTTCCTTATCTGGGTCTTTAAAATCTGAGAGGGGACTATGTCGACTTTGGGTAAATCCACTAGGGAGAGAGTTGATTAAGAAGTCATCATAATATCCCTACAGCTTTCTATCCTGACGACTGGCCGACTTCGATCTGTCGTTTTTGGTGAGGCCCATCTTGCGTTTGCTATTACTTTATACCGCTAGAAGCTGCGAGAGCTATAGAACTTAAGATACCTTAATATCTAGAATAAATAGAGCCCCGAGCCCCAAGTACCTCTAGAGAAAGTACAGGTTCAATAGGAGGAAAAGAACCGAGAAATCACAATTCATCGCCTTAAAATAAAGGACTATTTTAATGGTCGACTTCTAGGCACCTGCGTTGGGTTTGTCCAACCCCGAACCATTGGGCACCAGCAAAAGTTTGCAATGCTTCTAATAGGATACATGTACTGCCTAGAGACAGATTTTGCTTATTGAAGCTTTTTGAGGTCTGAATCTGGGCTGGCAGCGTGTTGCTTGGAATTCAGGCTAGCAGTGAAAGTAGAAATGACAGCGATACTTGAGATGAAGACAACAAATGCCAAAGGGTACTTGACAGCTCAATCGAATAGAGGATGGATCAAATCTATGTGCGAGGTGCTTAGCAATAGACCGGGATTAGATATTCGATCAGCATGTCCAGAATGGGTTTGATGATGATGGGTTTGTATTGGATCCTGGAATGTCTGTCCATGATTTGGAAACTTCGCCGTGTGTACTCTGTAACTTGTTTGGAAGCGTTGGGCCAATGAAGTCTGTCGAGAGCGAGACATCCAATTGCCACCTGCGTCGATATTCCGCCAGGGTAGAATTTACTGACCTAGAAGAACCAACACACGCATTCATATATGGTTTTCCAGCTCCCTTCGCTGACGTGCCTCTTGGCGTTGAGGTTGAGGACGGCAGCAGTCCCCGTACTCTCAGCACGAGAGCCAAAAATACAAAGAGAGGGGGCTAAAGAGAAGGGGCTACTTGTACTCCGTGCCGAAAAATACAGAGCCGTTATCGATTCTCCGAGTGAATGAGATACGACGACAACTGTTCGATTCCCAATTTGTCCGAGATTGTATCTGATATTGCAAGGAGAAGCACCCGCCAGTCTGCCAGACGAATACCAAAGATCAATTGGCGTCCCCATTCTTCAGGTTCTGGATTGCATTTCTGGCTCAGTTATTAAACTTCCTCCAAATTGCGAGTATGCTGCACTTTCATACGTTTGGGCTGAAGCGATTCCCATCTCCGGCACGCCGATAGATGATGGTGATTACCCGGACATAAACAACTTTCCACAAATAACCTGGGATGCCTTGAAGGCAGCTCTGAGGATTGGTATCCTGTACCTCTGGGTTGATAGATATCGCATCGACCAGTCGGACGCGCACGAGAAGCAGCATTAAATTCGTTAAATGGATATAATCTACGCAAATGCCACGATTAAGATCATCTCAGCGAGTACAAATCGTCAATATCCGGGGTTACCTGGTGTCTTGGAAGCTTGCGCAAGCAGCAGCCGCGGCTGATGGCTAAGGGTCATAACTTCTGTTGAAATTAGGGGCCTGAGGCCCCTAATAGGCTTAGTAAGCCCTGGAACGGAACGCCATGGGGCTGTGCACCAGGGGCTTAATACCCTGTATAGCCGGAATACCCTGTAGTATGCCCTGTAAAGCTGAATTGGTTCAGCTGGCATAGGTAAAAGGCTCAGCAGGTTTAGGGGTTTAGTGCATGTGATTTAGGGTGTTCAGGGCTATATATATGGGCTACTTACCACTGTAGAACAGCAGTCAATTCAGTATCGTTTACTTGGTTTACATTGCACGCACGTGACCCTAGCTTTATTATTAAGCTAGTTCAACAACTTCATTTCTACTTTGCGAAATGGCGGGTTGGCGGTGGCACAATCGCGATGGGCCACTCGCGGCTGGATCTATCAAGAAGGAATTCTATCCAAACGCGGCCTCATATTTACTGAGGACCAAATATTTTTCCAATGCAATGGAATGCATTGTGCTGAAAGCGTCACATTGCTTTTAGATGAGCTACACGAATCCAAGATCAAAATCTTCGGGAAGAATTTTCTGGATGGCCCATTAGGTAGAAGGTCACCAGGAACTGATCCGTTTGATAGTATGAAATATGTTATCCCGTATACTAAGAGGTATCTAACCTTCGGGGAAGACAAAATCAATGCTAAGAATGCATATTTCATGCTTACTAAGTACCCTGTTTTCCCGTTTTATGTTAGTTATGGGCAGAAACCGGAAAATAAGACGAGGGACGAATAAATAGGCTCACTCGGGTGAGATAGATAGACTAAGTATTAAGGGTCAGCCTCTGTCTCAGACCCTCCATATAAGCAAGCGCATTTACTCCAGGTGTGACGGCGGGATCGAGGTAATGGCCAGGGCTCAAAGATCCAAGAATCTCATGTATTGAAAATACTAAGCTAAAGAGAAGAAGGAGAGAGAGAGAAGGAAAGGGGATAAAAGAAGGGAAATACTAGCTAAAACCACTGAAACGCCGGCTAGCTAGGTGAAACCAGTCATGTGATAGCTACCCCCATATGGCCCCCAGCCAGTACCGTTACACCAGGAAGATATAAACCTTAGACTCGACTCCGTCTAGCCATGTAAGTAAGAAGTCGATGAAAAGAAGTCCTACTATAATTTTCCGCCTTGAACTCTGTTCAAGGATTATAAACTTAGCAGAATAAAGAAACTTCCCACGCGGTGCGAATATCTATATATATATTGAAGCGCTCTAACTCAGTCGGAGGAGAAAACGTTCCAGCAGCAAACAGCTCGTGTGGCAACAGATTCGCTCCTCTTACGTCCCTTGCCGTGATCGTATCTCTCGCAAGTCCTGCGCATCCGATAATTTGGTATGTGTAGCGATTACGGCCCGCAACTGAAGCAGGGTTGTTGCTAGTTGACTGTCGAATAATAACGGCGCGTTCTATACCAGCAATGTGACAGATGAAGTCTCCAACTTGAGTGCCTAAAGGCGCTAGTCCCATGTAGCTTGGGGTGACCTCAGAGGGCCGTGGCTGTAGTAGAAACAAGCGGGAACCATGTCGACCTGAGTCTAGTGATAACTGTTCAGATGCAGCCATACCAACGTTTGCCCCGAGGTGGGATTCAAAAGTATCGATGCTATATTGCCTAACTTCTTCCCAAGTGATCATGCGATCAAAAGCGAAAATAGTCCTTTGGGATACTTCATCAAAGACCCGAAGTGCCTCTAGGAAAAGCTCACTCTGCTCTAGAACGGTAGACCTCAGTTGGGAGTCCGAGATATTCCTCCATATAAGGGATATCCAATCGTTCGATTTCTCGGGGTTGGCGACGACGTCGCAATACAAATGACCAATTTCATTGATCCTCCCAACGAGGCATCCTGGTACACGGAGGCTTCTGACCTGGGAATTGAGGTTGATATCTCCAGCGCTGAAGTTTCTAGCTAACCCATCCGGTTCTAATCCCACTCTTCCTCCTACCATTCGCCCCAAGAGGCGACTCATATCCAGGATATCATGCTGGCTCCGGCTTTCGTCACCGTGGAGGAAGAAGACGGTGTCTGTGAAAACCTCGAATGGAGATTTTGAATAGTCCATTGGAAATCGGTCGTGAACATCAACCGCCAACCCTATGAAACCATATATTTTATCTCGTGGGTCCTTGCATAAAGCGACCTGGTTGGTTCTCAGCAGGTTGGAAAGTGTATGGCCGCCTTCGAATCGACCCTGGCGCTGGCCATCTAATTTTAAAGGGATACTATTTGCAAGGCTCTTCTTGGATTTGATCATCTCGATGAAGCGGTTCCACTCAATGAATGTAAAATCATAATGGATCCGCAGCCCTCCGTACCTTGCTTTCCCAATTTCTTGGATTATCCACAACCTCTTCCAATAGTCGCGTTTGCAGAGAGACATGATTTTGCCCTCGTAGAGTGATTGAGCTAGAGGTTGTCCCGACAACGTTGCGCTGCTGATTATGGGATGTTTTGGGGTGACCATTGCATACATATTGTTTTCTGAAGAGATATGATGTTTGAAAGTGGATGCTATACCGAGCCACACAATTACCATTTGTGCTCTCGCGTATATATATGGCATCAGGCGGACCTGGCGATTCCGTTCCCCAAGATCGGACTGATTAATGCTGATGGCATCGATCCAAATCGCTTGTTGCTGTTCACCAGCCGATTCCAGGCCCCGGATATTGACCAGAGCAGCAGCGAGATTCTCACCGACTTCAAACTTTATTCCATCCAGCAGGATTGTTCTCTTTGTGGTACCATCACCCCAGGCATATGACAGCGCCTTATATTCGGGCCTGTCACCGAATGCGACATGAGCTAAGGTGCACTCGATCTCCTCAGCGCGCCGTTTAGCTCGTCGAGGCTGGAGATAGACAATGCGAATGCAGTCGTCTTCTAATGGCTTGTACTCAAAGGACGTGATCATGGAAGCCGAGGAAGGCCCCTCTGTCGAGCTACTGCATAATAAGTGACGGAAGTGCATCGTGGGCGAGTTGTGCTTTCGAGAAGTGTGGGCTTGACGTCGATTCACGATGAGCCGGTGCGAATTACCTCCTCTGTATCGAAAACATTTACAAGGTTGGTTTCAGGAAGCCGCCGCAAGTGGGTTGTTGCCTGAGGCCCCAACCGCAATGATCTTCTGTAGGCACACCTCACTAATTCTATATCCTCTCCCCACCAAATGTTTTATTAGTAAGCAATGCAAGAAACGATTTCTAATCTCGCAAATCCTTAAATACCCTCTTTTTATTCCCTAAATACCCTAATGTTATATAATAATAGAGTTTTTTTTATATAAATTAATATAAATAAAATAACTTATATTATTATTATTATTATTATTATATAGTATTTTATATTATATTTAATAAATATAAATATAATTTTATACTTTTAATTAAATATATATTCTAAATATTACGGGTATAGTATTCAGGGCTTAGAAAGCAAGGTAGAAGGTCCCTTACAAAAACGATTCAAAGCTAAGGTAGGGAAAACTAGAATATAGAAGACTGCGAGAGAGTATATATACCCTATAGTATACTAGTCCCGAAGGGGCTAGCCTTCTAAATATTTCTAGTATATTCCAAGCATATTTCCCTAGTGAGGCGGCCGCGTCACGTGCGCCTAGGAGGCATCTAGTATCTGGCAAGGTATCTCAGATACCGGATATCTAGGAATTATAATATTACCCCTCTCTTTATAATAAGCTTGTCCCCGAGCTTTATATAAGTCATTAATTCATCTAATTTCGTACTATATTCCTTCCCAAAGTAAAACTAGTATCTCGGATATAGATATTATATATAAAAGGCTAGTGCCTTTACTATATAACCTAAAAGAATTTATTATTATTTCCGTATAATTCTAAATAAGTATTATTTTTTATATAATCTAGCTAGTATTACAGGTTTTATAGAGGTCCTGGTATATTAATATTATTATTATAAAAACTCTATAAAACCAGGGAGCTATTACTTAGTACTAAAGCTAGATATTATACTAGATCTTTATCCTAACTAACCTACTAAATTCTATACTTTAGCCTATTTCTTATTAGCTTAACTATAATAACTCGTTTAATACTATATTCTTATTTACTATCTTCTAGTATTAATAGAAGCGGTTCCGGATTTATCTAATCTAGTAAAGAATTCTAGAAGTCTTTTTATAGCTTCTCTATATAGAAAACTAGATATATCTTTATAGTTTCCGGTAGTTTTAGGAGAAATAAGTAGCTATACTATTCTAGAATCTCAAATAGGTTCTCTATTTGGTTCTCTAGCTTCCGGCTCGAATAATCGGATTTCTAGTACTTTATAGTAACTTATACTTTATTTCTTACTTTGAAATTAATTAGATAGCGGTATTTATTAGCTTATATTATATATTATTTCTATACTTGCTTTATATAGCCTTAGGTAAGTTACTATAATTTATATAATTAATTTACTAATACTTTAGCTTTATTTCTATTTAGCTTCTTTTTAGATAAGTTAGCTTTAATAGGGGAATTCTAGTCTAGAGAGGTATAAGGCTCGTAGCCCTTTTTAGTTATAAATAGGGACTAGCTAATAGTTTTATACTAAAGAGAGGCTTATTAATAATTAATTATAGTAACCTATTTATTCTAGTTATTCTAGTAATAGTTAATATACGGATATAATCTCTAATTAAAGTACTAATTAATAATCTCTATTTATTTATCCGTTTGGGGGTAATTAGCTATAGAGAGCTTAAGCTTTATACTAATTCTTATATAGAATTCGCTCTAAAAATCGGATATAAATTAGGGTCTCTAATCTAATATAATTATTTCTGGAATATTTACTTAATATATTATATAAAGTAAAAATAGAGGTATTAGCTATTTGGCTATAATTATATCTTATACGAGAATTATAATTAGGTGCTTAGATAAGTAATTCACGAATATAGTAATTATATTATGGCCCGATTTGCTTTCTGGATAGCTCTTAAAGTCTATAGTAATATGCTATTAGAGGTAATTAGGAACTAGAAAGAGATAAAGTAAACCAGGCTTCTTATTTCTGGATATATGTAATCTCTTATAAATATAGTAATTACTATAGTATTAATTAATATTCTTGCCTATAAATAGCTAGTAATATTACTTCTTTAATAGCTAATAGAGCTTTATATATTCAGGATATCCAGAAAGGGGTTTATTATATACTTTATAAATTAGGGCAGTCTATAAAGATAGTCCGGGAATCATTTCGTTCTTCGTAATATAGAGTCTTCTATAGTATAAAAGAAGGCCGTCTTATAATATCCAGATATTACTTTTGGCTTAGGCTATTATATATAGCTTCTCTAGATCCGGTAATATATAATTATTCTATAGGATCTTATTTATAAGTTATAAATTACTATACTCGGTAAGAGCCTCTAATAGTGCTTCTATAGGGGCTACTATAGCGGAGTTTACTAGTAAAGCTTCTAAGAGAATACCTTTTTTTAGGAGAATTATATCTTTAATAGAAATATTCTTTTCCGGAAAATCTTTAGTATATACTTGGTTTTTAGAGCCGAATTCCGGATTAAGTAAGCTAACCTTATAGAGTATTACTATAAACTATAAGTTATAAATAATCTCTGAATTAATCTTATTTTTGGGGAGAAGTACTTGAGTTTATAGCTTTTCCTTAATCTGGCCCTAAGTATCTACTTTATTTTATTTTTATAATAAAGTATCTACTTACTTATTCGATTTTCCAGAATAATATATAAGCTTAAAGTAATAGCAGAATAAAAGCTTAGCCTATCTAGCTTATTAAGAAGAGAGCTTCTTAGTAATTATAAAGTACTTTAAGGTATAATAATTAGAATAGATCTTAAAGGAAGTATTCTAAAGACCCTCTAGCTCAGCTCTTTATTTCTCTAGTACTCAAACTATAGCAAGTATTTCCTTATTATATATATTATAATTAAGCTTTACCGGAAGTATAGTTTTGGAAAAATAAGCTATAGAATATTAAAGGCCTATTTCTAGATCTTATTAAAAGAATAGGCCAGTAATTACTTCTTTAGATATATCTATTTCTATTATTATAGGCAGATCTGAATTATAGTATTATAAAACTGGAATAGAAATTATAGCTTTCTTTAGGTAAATAAAAGCCTTTTAGTATTACTCGGATTACTTAAAGGAAATACCCTTTTTTATAAGTAAGATAAGAGATCTAGTAATTCGTTTATACTTTTTAATAAAGCATTTATAAAAGTTATAGAAGCCGAGAAAGAACTATATATCCTTAATTATCTTTGGGAATTACTAGTTATATATTATTTTAACTTTATTAGGATTTACTTTAATACTAGATATAGAGATAATAAAGCCTGAATACTTTATATATATAACTTTAAATTCCGATTTCTTAATATTTACTTAGAGGCTAGTAAGATATAAGTAGTCTAGTACTTTTCATATATACTATTTGTACTCTACTAGATTCTCTAAGTAAATAAGAATATTATTAAGATATATTATATAAAAGTTATCTAGATACTTAAAGAATATATTATTTATATAGTATTAATATATAGCCGGGCTATTTATAAGGCCTTTCCAGAGGATATTATATTTATATACTTTATAGCAGGTATGAAATATTATTAGTTCCTGAGAGTCCGGGTCTATAGCTATATAATAGAAAGCTTAGCGGATATTTAATTTAATATAGATCTTGGCCTTAGATAATTAACTTAAAGTTTTATTAATAAAAGAAAAGAGATATTGATTTTTCCGGGTAATATTATTTAGGTAGCGGAAATTAATACAGAAGTATAAACCTCCGTTTGCTTTCTTTATAAAAAGAACTAGTAAAATAAAGAAAGCCTAACTAGCTTTAATAAAGCCTTTAGCTAGATTATCTTCTAAGAAATACTTGATTTCTATAAGCTTTTAAGTAAACTACTACCGGAGGAATTAATATCTAATACTTTTGGTTTCTTTTAGGCCTTTAATCTAAATCTTATAATTATATAATTTATAAGAAGAAAAGATATCAGATTTCTTTTTAGAGAAAATAGAGGCATATTTCTTAAGTTCCGGGAATAATATTCTCTATAGCTACTAAAGCTTTATTTCTCCCGATTATTAATTCTCTGGGCTAGAAATAACTTCTTTTTTCCGAGCTTTAAGTTCCTTATTAATCTTATAAATAGAGATTTAACTAATAATATTATCTTCTCTCTTAGCTATATAATTAAATACTATAAAGGTAAGAATAGCTAGGTTTAATATTTGCTTTTTATTAAGGATCTCTTCCTGCTTCTTTGGCTTTTACTTGGGTATTATATCTTAATTAGGCTATAGAAGCTCCTTTTCTATAGTTTTATATAATTCCTTCTAATTAGTTTAAAAAAAGAAAGATTGCTTTAGAATAGAAGATTTCTAGAAATAGCTTATAATAGAATCTCGTTAATTAGTATTCTTTTAATACTTCTTATTAGGTTACTTCTCTAGCTATTACTGCGAAATACTAATAATATAACCGAATTATATAGATTTAGGTTTATTTTTTTAGCTATATAAGCCTATATCTTTTATAGTTAATTAGAATATTAATATATACTACCTATTTCCTACTAAGAATAATATTATAATCTCTAAGATTTAGAATAATTATAGGTATATTAATACTTTATTTATTAATTAGAAATAAGACTTCTATATATTTCTTAGTAAACTTAGCTAGCTTTCTATTAAAACCGTATATAGTATAGAATAAGGAAAGGGGTTATAATTCTATTTCTAAGAATTACTTTATAAGCTAAATAAGCTTTATATTAATAAAAGTATAACTATTAGCTCTAGTATTAATAAGGGAAAAAGACTTAATTCCTAATTTATTTATACTAATAGTATAAGGTATTATAAGAGTATTTCCTTCTATTAAACAAGTTAAGTTAATCTTTACTAAATCCATATTATAAGCCCCTAAAGTAAAGACTTTCTTTAGGGGTACTTGTTTCCCGGTTCTA